TACCATCATACATTGATTACTTACTTCATCAATATACAATTATTGACTATTTTGTATTATTAATTTCAGGAGAATTATCAAATTCGTCGAATAATCACACAAAATCAGAAGCAAAAATTTTGGCGACTTTTTAAACAGGTATATTTGAATGACTGTTAGGAAAAATGCAAAACATCCAGAATAAGCTAATCAACTGTACAATTATTCTACCTAATATAACGGCGCAGTTGAGTGTGGTTTAATTTTGTTAAAAATATTGACTCCAAAAAAATACGCACGTAAAACAATCTTATCCATAAGCAATTGCTAATAAAAGAACGTTTTTGTATTTCAAGGAGAGTCTTTAAAAAGTCGAAACTAGTGACAAAGTTTGCAGAAAAATAAATCAACGCTTTTATGAAAAGATGCTTTCAATGAACATAACAATGGTAACTTCATATTTCAGACAATTAGATGAAAACCCATTCGAACACACATACCTGCATTTTTAGTTACTAATTATGTTTGTAAAAAATATGAATGAACAAAAATATATAGTATACATTGTTTTCCATTATACATTGATTACTTACTTCATCAATATACAATTATTGACTATTTTGTATAATTAATTTCAGGAGAATTTTCAAACTCGTCGAATAATCACACAAAATCAGAAGCAAAAACGTTGGCGACTTTTCAACAGGTATATTCTAATGACTGTTAGGAAAAATGCAAAACATCAAGATCCAGCTAATCAACTGTACAATTATTCTACCTAATATAACGGCGCTGTTGAGTGTGGTTTATTTTTGTTAAAAATATTGACTCCAAAAAAGTACGCACGTAAAACAATCTTATCCATAAGCAACTGCTAATAAAAGAACGTTTTTGTATTTGAAGGAGAGTCTTTAAATATTCGAAACTAGTGACAAAGTTTACAGAAAAAAAAAACAGCGCTTTTATGGAAAGATACTTTCAATGAACATAACAATGGTATCTTCATATTTCAGACAATTATTTGTTAACCCATTCGAACACATATATATCTGCATTCTTAGTTATTGATTAATTTTGTAAAAAATCTGAATGAACAAAAATATATAGTATACACTGTTTTCCATTATACATTGATTACTTACTTCATAAATATACAATTATTGACTTTTTTGTATTATTAATTTCAGGAGAATGTTTAAACTCGTCGAATAATCACACACAATCAGAAGCAAACATTTTGGCGACTTTTTAAACAGGTATATTCGAATGACTATTAGGGAAAATGCAAAACATCAAAAATAAGCTAATCAACTGTACAATTATTCTACCTAATATAACGGCGCTGTTGAGTGTGGTTTAATTTTGTTAAAAATATTGACTCTAAAAAAATACGCACGTAAAACAATCTTATCCATAAGCAATTGCGAATAAAAAAACATTTATGTATTGCAAGGAAAGTCTTTAAAATACCGAAATTAGTGACAAAGTTTGCAGAAAAATAAATCAGCCCTTTTATGAAAAGATGCTTTCAATGAACATAACAATGGTAACTTCATATTTCAGACAATTAGTTGTAAACCCATTCGAACACATAAATATCTGCATTCTTAGTTATTGATTATTTTTGTAAAAAATCTGAATGAACAAAAATAGATAGGATACACTGTTTTCCATTATACATTGATTACTTACTTCATCAATATACAATTATTGACTATTTTGTATTGTTAATTTCCAAAGAATGTTCAAACTCGCCGAATAATCACACAAAATCGGAAGAAAACATTTGGCGACTTTTTAAACAGGTATATTCGAATGACTGTTTGCAAAAAGCAAAACATCAAGATCAAGCTAATGAAATGAACAATTATTCTACCTAATATAACAGCGCTGTTGAGTGTGGTTAAATTTTGTTAAAAATATTAAGTCAAAAAATGTACGCACGTAAAACAATTTTATCCATAGGCAATTTCTAATAAAAGAATGTTTTTGTATTTCAAGGAGAGTCTTTAAAAAGTCGAAACTAGTGACAAAGTTTGCAGAAAAAAAGATCAGCGCTTTTATGAAAAGATGCTTTCAATGAATATAACAATAATAACTTCATAATTCAGACAATTAGTTGTTAACCAATTTGAACACATATGTCTGGATTCTTAGTTATTGATTATTTTTGTCAAAAATATGATTGAACAAAAATATAAAGTATACACTGTTTTCCATTATACATTGATTACTTACTTCATCAATATACAATTATTGACTATTTTGTATTATTAATTTCAGGAGTATTTTCAAACTCGTCGATTAATCACACAAAATCAGAAGCAAAAATTTTGGCGACTTTTTAAACAGGTATATTCGAGTGACTGTTAGGAAAAATGCAAAACATCAAGAATAAGCTAATCAACTGTACAATTATTCTACCTAATATAACGGCGCTGTTGAGTGTGGTTTAATTTTGTTAAAAAAACTGACTCCAAAAAAATACGCACGTACAACAATCTTATCCATAAGCAATGGCTAATAAAAGAACGTTTTTGTATTTCAAGGAGAGTCTTTAAAAAGTCGAAACTAGTGACAAAGTTTGCAGAAAAATAAATCAACGCTTTTATGAAAAGATGCTTTCAATGAACATAACAATGGTAACTTCATATTTCAGACAATTAGTTGTAAACCCATTCGAACACATATACCAGCATTTTTAGTTATTGATTATGTTTGTAAAAAATATGAATGAACAAAAATATATAGTATACACTGTTTTCCATTATACATTGATTACTTACTTCATCAATATACAATTATTGACTATTTTGTATTATTAATTTCAGGAGAATTATCAAACTCGTCGATTAATCACACAAAATCAGAAGCAAAAATTTTGACGAATTTTTAAACAGGTATATTCGAATGACTGTTAGGAAAAATGCAAAACATCAAGAATAAGCTAATCAACTGTACAATTATTCTAGCTAATATAACGGCGCTGTTGAGTGTGGTTTAATTTTGTTAAAAATATTGACTCCAAAAAAATACGCACGTAAAACAATCTTATCCATAAGCAATTGCTAATAAAAGAACGTTTTTGTATTTCAAGGAGAGTCTTTCAAAAGTCGAAACTAGTGACAAAAATTGCAGAAATATAAATTAGCGCTTTTATGAAAAGATGCTTTCAATGAACATAACAATGGTAACTTCATATTTCAGACAATTAGTTGTAAACCCATTCGAACACACATACCTGCATTTTTAGTTACTGATTATGTTTGTTAAAAATCTGAATGAACAAAAATATATAGTATACACTGTTTTCCATTATACATTGATTACTTACTTCATCAATATACAATTATTGACTATTTTGTATTATTATTTCAGGAGAATGTCCAAACTCGACGAATAATCTCACAAAATCGGAAGAAAACATTTGGCGACTTTTTAAACAGGTATATTCGAATGACTGTTTGAAAAAGCAAAACATCAAGATCAAACAAATGAAATGAACAATTATTCTACCTAATATAACAGCGCTGTTGAGTGTGGTTAAATTTTGTTAAAAATATTAAGTCAAAAAAAGTACGCACGTAAAACAATTTTATCCATAGGCAATTTCTAATAAAAGAACGTTTTTGTATTTCAAGGAGAGTCTTTAAAAAGTCGAAACTAGTGACAAAGTTTGGAGAAAAAAAAAATCAGCGCTTCTATGAAAGATGCTTTCAATGAATATAACAATAGTAACTTCATAATTCAGACAATTAGTTGTTAACCAATTTGAACACATATGTCTGCATTCTTAGTTATTGATTATTTTTGTCAAAAATATGATTGAACAAAAATATATAGTATACACTGTTTTCCATTATACATTGATTACTTACTTCATCAATATACAATTATTGACTATTTTGTATTATTAATTTCAGGAGTATTTTTAAACTCGTCGAATAATCACACAAAATCAGAAGCAAAAATTTTGGCGACTTTTTAAACAGGTATATTCGAATGACTGTTAGGAAAAATGCAAAACATCAAGAATAAGCTAATCAACTGTACAATTATTCTAGCTAATATAACGGCGCTGTTGAGTGTGGTTTAATTTTGTTAAAAAATATTGACTCAAAAAAAGTACGCACGTAAAACAATCTTATCCATAAGCAAATTGCTAATACAAGAACGTTTTTGTATTTCAAGGAGAGTCTTTAAAAAGTCGAAACTAGTGACAAAGTTTGCAGAAAAATAAATCAACGCTTTTATGAAAAGATGCTTTCAATGAACATAACAATGGTAACTTCATATTTCAGACAATTATTTGTTAACCCATTCGAACACACATATGTCTGCATTTTTAGTTACTAATTATGTTTGTAAAAAATATGAATGAACAAAAATATAAAGTATACATTGTTTTCCATTATACATTGATTACTTACTTCATCAATATACAATTATTGACTATTTTGTATCATTAATTTCATGAGAATTTTCAAACTCGTCGAATAATCACACAAAATCAGAAGCAAAAACGTTGGCGACTTTTCAACAGGTATATTCTAATGACTGTTAGGAAAAATGCAAAACATTAAGATCAAGCTAATCAACTGTACAATTATTCTACCTAATATAACGGCGCTGTTGAGTGTGGTTTACTTTTGTTAAAAATATTTACTCAAAAAAAGTACGCACGTAAAACAATCTTATCCATAACAAACTGCTAATAAAAGAACGTTTTTGTATTTCAAGGAGAGTCTTTAAATAGTCGAAACTAGTGACAAAGTTTGCAGAAAAAAACAGCGCTTTATTGGAAAGATGCTTTCAATGAACATAACAATGGTATCTTTATATTTCAGACAATTATTTGTTAACCCATTCGAACACATATATATATGCATTCTTAGTTATTGATTATTTTTGTAAAAAATCTGAATGAACAAAAATATATAGTATACACTGTTTTCCATTATACATTGATTACTTACTTCATCAATATACAATTATTGACTATTTTGTATTAATTTCAGGAGAATGTTTAAACTCGTCGAATAATAACACAAAATCAGAAGCAAACATTTGGGCGACTTTTTAAACAGGTATATTCGAATGACTGTTAGGAAAAATGCAAAACATCAAGAATAAGCCTATCAACTGTACAATTATTCTAGCTAATATAACGGCGCTGTTGAGTGTGGTTTAATTTTTATTAAAAATATTGACTCCAAAAAAATACGCACGTAAAACAATCTTATCCATAAGTAATTGCGAATAAAAGAACATTTTTGTATTGCAAGGAAAGTCTTTAAAATACCGAAATTAGTGACAAAGTTTGCAAAAAAATACATCAGCCCTTTTATGAAAAGATGCTTTCAATGAACATAACAATGGTAACTTCATATTTCAAAAAATTAGTTGTAAACCCATTCGAACACATATACCAGCATTTTTAGTTATTGATTATGTTTGTAAAAAATATGAATGAACAAAAATATATAGTATACACTGTTTACCATCATACATTGATTACTTACTTCATCAATATACAATTATTGACTATTTTGTATTATTAATTTCAGGAGAATTATCAAATTCGTCGAATAATCACACAAAATCAGAAGCAAACATTTGGGCGACTTTTTAAACAGGTATATTCGAATGACTGTTAGGAAAAATGCAAAACATCAAGAATAAGCTAATCAACTGTACAATTATTCTAGCTAATATAACGGCGCTGTTGAGTGTGGTTTAATTTTGTTAAAAAATATTGACTCCAAAAAAGTACGCACGTAAAACAATCTTATCCATAAGCAATTGCTAATAAAAGAACGTTTTTGTATTTCAAGGAGTGTCTTTAAAAAGTCGAAACTAGTGACAAAGTTTGCAGAAAAATAAATCAACGCTTTTATTAAAAGATGCTTTCAATGAACATAACAATGATAACTTCATATTTCAGACAATTAGACGTAAACCCATTCGAACACACATACCTGCATTTTTAGTTACTAATTATGTTTGTAAAAATATGAATGCACAAAAATATATAGTATACATTGTTATCCATTATACATTGATTACTTACTTCATCAATATACAATTATTGACTATTTTGTATTATTAATTTCAGGAGAATGTTCAAACTCGTCGAATAATCTCACCAAATCGGAAGAAACAGTTTGGCGACTTTTTAAACAGGTATATTCGAATGACTGTTAGGAAAAAAGCAAAACATCAAGATCAAGCTAATCAACTGTACAGTTATTCTACCTAATATAACGGCGCTGTTGAGTGTGGTTTACTTTTGTTAAAAATATTGACTCAAAAAAAGTACGCACGTAAAACAATCTTATCCATAAGCAATTGCTAATAAAAGAACGTTTTTGTATTTCAAGGAGTGTCTTTAAAAAGTCGAAACTAGTGACAAAGTTTGCAGAAAAATAAATCAACGCTTTTATTAAAAGATGCTTTCAATGAACATATCAATGGTTACTTCATATTTCAGACATTTAGTTGTAAACCCATTCCAACACATATACCAGCATTTTTAGTTATTGATTATGTTTGTAAAAAATATGAATGAACAAAAATATATAGTATACACTGTTTTCCATTATACATTGATTACTTACTTCATCAATATACAATTATTGACTATTTTGTATTATTATTTCAGGAGAATGTCCAAACTCGACGAATAATCTCACAAAATCGGAAGAAAACATTTGGCGACTTTTTAAACAGGTATATTCGAATGACTGTTTGAAAAAGCAAAACATCAAGATCAAACAAATGAAATGAACAATTATTCTACCTAATATAACAGCGCTGTTGAGTGTGGTTAAATTTTGTTAAAAATATTAAGTAAAAAAAAGTACGCACGTAAAACAATTTTATCCATAGGCAATTTCTAATAAAAGAACGTTTTGTATTTCAAGGAGAGTCTTTAAAAAGTCGAAACTAGTGACAAAGTTTGGAGAAAAAAAAATCAGCGCTTTTATGAAAGATGCTTTCAATGAATATAACAATAGTAACTTCATAATTCAGACAATTAGTTGTTAACCAATTTGAACACATATGTCTGCATTCTTAGTTATTGATTATTTTTGTCAAAAATATGATTGAACAAAAATATATAGTATACACTGTTTTCCATTATACATTGATTACTTACTTCATCAATATACAATTATTGACTATTTTGTATTATTAATTTCAGGAGTATTTTCAAACTCGTCGAATAATCACACAAAATCAGAAGCAAAAATTTTGGCGACTTTTTAAACAGGTATATTCGAATGACTGTTAGGAAAAATGCAAAACATCAAGAATAAGCTAATCAACTGTACAATTATTCTAGCTAATATAACGGCGCTGTTGAGTGTGGTTTAATTTTGTAAAAAAAAATTGACTCTAAAAAAGTACGCACGTAAACCAATCTTATCCATAAGCAAATTGCTAATACAAGAACGTTTTTGTATTTCAAGGAGAGTCTTTAAAAAGTCGAAACTAGTGACAAAGTTTGCAGAAAAATAAATCAACGCTTTTATGAAAAGATGCTTTCAATGAACATAACAATGGTAACTTCATATTTCAGACAATTATTTGTTAACCCATTCGAACACACATATGTCTGCATTTTTAGTTACTAATTATGTTTGTAAAAAATATGAATGAACAAAAATATAAAGTATACATTGTTTTCCATTATACATTGATTACTTACTTCATCAATATACAATTATTGACTATTTTGTATCATTAATTTCAGGAGAATTTTCAAACTCGTCGAATAATCACACAAAATCAGAAGCAAAAACGTTGGCGACTTTTCAACAGGTATATTCTAATGACTGTTAGGAAAAATGCAAAACATTAAGATCAAGCTAATCAACTGTACAATTATTCTACCTAATATAACGGCGCTGTTGAGTGTGGTTTACTTTTGTTAAAAATATTTACTCAAAAAAAGTACGCACGTAAAACAATCTTATCCATAACAAACTGCTAATAAAAGAACGTTTTTGTATTTCAAGGAGAGTCTTTAAATAGTCGAAACTAGTGACAAAGTTTGCAGAAAAAAACAGCGCTTTTATGGAAAGATGCTTTCAATGAACATAACAATGGTATCTTTATATTTCAGACAATTATTTGTTAACCCATTCGAACACATATATATATGCTTTCTTAGTTATTGATTATTTTTTTACAAAATCTGAATGAACAAAAATATATAGTATACACTGTTTTCCATTATACATTGATTACTTACTTCATCAATATACAATTATTGACTATTTTGTATTAATTTCAGGAGAATGTTTAAACTCGTCGAATAATAACACAAAATCAGAAGCAAACATTTGGGCGACTTTTTAAACAGGTATATTCGAATGACTGTTAGGAAAAATGCAAAACATCTAGAATAAGCTAATCAACTGTACAATTATTCTAGCTAATATAACGGCGCTGTTGAGTGTGGTTTAATTTTGTTAAAAAATATTGACTCCAAAAAAGTACGCACGTAAAACAATCTTATCCATAAGCAATTGCTAATAAAAGAACGTTTTTGTATTTCAAGGAGTGTCTTTAAAAAGTCGAAACTAGTGACAAAGTTTGCAGAAAAATAAATCAACGCTTTTATTAAAAGATGCTTTCAATGAACATAACAATGATAACTTCATATTTCAGACAATTAGACGTAAACCCATTCGAACACACATACCTGCATTTTTAGTTACTAATTATGTTTGTAAAAATATGAATGCACAAAAATATATAGTATACATTGTTATCCATTATACATTGATTACTTACTTCATCAATATACAATTATTGACTATTTTGTATTATTAATTTCAGGAGAATGTTCAAACTCGTCGAATAATCTCACCAAATCGGAAGAAACAGTTTGGCGACTTTTTAAACAGGTATATTCGAATGACTGTTAGGAAAAAAGCAAAACATCAAGATCAAGCTAATCAACTGTACAGTTATTCTACCTAATATAACGGCGCTGTTGAGTGTGGTTTACTTTTGTTAAAAATATTGACTCAAAAAAAGTACGCACGTAAAACAATCTTATCCATAAGCAATTGCTAATAAAAGAACGTTTTTGTATTTCAAGGAGTGTCTTTAAAAAGTCGAAACTAGTGACAAAGTTTGCAGAAAAATAAATCAACGCTTTTATTAAAAGATGCTTTCAATGAACATATCAATGGTTACTTCATATTTCAGACATTTAGTTGTAAACCCATTCCAACACATATACCAGCATTTTTAGTTATTGATTATGTTTGTAAAAAATATGAATGAACAAAAATATATAGTATACACTGTTTTCCATTATACATTGATTACTTACTTCATCAATATACAATTATTGACTATTTTGTATTATTATTTCAGGAGAATGTCCAAACTCGACGAATAATCTCACAAAATCGGAAGAAAACATTTGGCGACTTTTTAAACAGGTATATTCGAATGACTGTTTGAAAAAGCAAAACATCAAGATCAAACAAATGAAATGAACAATTATTCTACCTAATATAACAGCGCTGTTGAGTGTGGTTAAATTTTGTTAAAAATATTAAGTAAAAAAAAGTACGCACGTAAAACAATTTTATCCATAGGCAATTTCTAATAAAAGAACGTTTTGTATTTCAAGGAGAGTCTTTAAAAAGTCGAAACTAGTGACAAAGTTTGGAGAAAAAAAAATCAGCGCTTTTATGAAAGATGCTTTCAATGAATATAACAATAGTAACTTCATAATTCAGACAATTAGTTGTTAACCAATTTGAACACATATGTCTGCATTCTTAGTTATTGATTATTTTTGTCAAAAATATGATTGAACAAAAATATATAGTATACACTGTTTTCCATTATACATTGATTACTTACTTCATCAATATACAATTATTGACTATTTTGTATTATTAATTTCAGGAGTATTTTCAAACTCGTCGAATAATCACACAAAATCAGAAGCAAAAATTTTGGCGACTTTTTAAACAGGTATATTCGAATGACTGTTAGGAAAAATGCAAAACATCAAGAATAAGCTAATCAACTGAACAATTATTCTAGCTAATAAAACGGCGCTGTTGAGTGTGGTTTAATTTTGTAAAAAAAAATTGACTCTAAAAAAGTACGCACGTAAACCAATCTTATCCATAAGCAAATTGCTAATACAAGAACGTTTTTGTATTTCAAGGAGAGTCTTTAAAAAGTCGAAACTAGTGACAAAGTTTGCAGAAAAATAAATCAACGCTTTTATGAAAAGATGCTTTCAATGAACATAACAATGGTAACTTCATATTTCAGACAATTATTTGTTAACCCATTCGAACACACATATGTCTGCATTTTTAGTTACTAATTATGTTTGTAAAAAATATGAATGAACAAAAATATAAAGTATACATTGTTTTCCATTATACATTGATTACTTACTTCATCAATATACAATTATTGACTATTTTGTATCATTAATTTCAGGAGAATTTTCAAACTCGTCGAATAATCACACAAAATCAGAAGCAAAAACGTTGGCGACTTTTCAACAGGTATATTCTAATGACTGTTAGGAAAAATGCAAAACATTAAGATCAAGCTAATCAACTGTACAATTATTCTACCTAATATAACGGCGCTGTTGAGTGTGGTTTACTTTTGTTAAAAATATTTACTCAAAAAAAGTACGCACGTAAAACAATCTTATCCATAACAAACTGCTAATAAAAGAACGTTTTTGTATTTCAAGGAGAGTCTTTAAATAGTCGAAACTAGTGACAAAGTTTGCAGAAAAAAACAGCGCTTTTATGGAAAGATGCTTTCAATGAACATAACAATGGTATCTTCATATTTCAGACAATTATTTGTTAACCCATTCGAACACATATATATATGCATTCTTAGTTATTGATTATTTTTGTAAAAAATCTGAATGAACAAAAATATATAGTATACACTGTTTTCCATTATACATTGATTACTTACTTCATCAATATACAATTATTGACTATTTTGTATTAATTTCAGGAGAATGTTTAAACTCGTCGAATAATAACACAAAATCAGAAGCAAACATTTTGGCGACTTTTTAAACAGGTATATTCGAATGACTGTTAGGAAAAATGCAAAACATCAAGAATAAGCTAATCAACTGTACAATTATTCTAGCTAATATAACGGCGCTGTTGAGTGTGGTTTAATTTTGTTAAAAAATATTGACTCCAAAAAAGTACGCACGTAAAACAATCTTATCCATAAGCAATTGCTAATAAAAGAACGTTTTTGTATTTCAAGGAGTGTCTTTAAAAAGTCGAAACTAGTGACAAAGTTTGCAGAAAAATAAATCAACGCTTTTATTAAAAGATGCTTTCAATGAACATATCAATAGTAACTTCATATTTCAGACAATTAGTTGTAAACCCATTCGAACACATATACCAGCATTTTTAGTTATTGATTATGTTTGTAAAAAATATGAATGAACAAAAATATATTGTATACACTGTTTTCCATTATACATTGATTACTTACTTCATCAATATACAATTATTGACTATTTTGTATTATTATTTCAGGAGAATGTCCAAACTCGACGAATAATCTCACAAAATCGGAAAAAAACATTTGGCGACTTTTTAAACAGGTATATTCGAATGACTGTTTGAAAAAGCAAAACATCAAGATCAAACAAATGAAATGAACAATTATTCTATCTAATATAACAGCGCTGTTGAGTGTGGTTAAATTTTGTTAAAAATATTAAGTCAAAAAAAGTACGCACGTAAAACAATTTTATCCATAGGCAATTTCTAATAAAAGAACGTTTTTGTATTTGAAGGAGAGTCTTTAAAAAGTCGAAACTAGTGACAAAGTTTGGAGAAAAAAAAAATCAGCGCTTTTATGAAAGATGCTTTCAATGAATATAACAATAGTAACTTCATAATTCAGACAATTAGTTGTTAACCAATTTGAACACATATGTCTGCATTCTTAGTTATTGATTATTTTTGTCAAAAATATAATTGAACAAAAATATATAGTATACACTGTTTTCCATTATACATTGATTACTTACTTCATCAATATACAATTATTGACTATTTTGTATTATTAATTTCAGGAGTATTTTCAAACTCGTCGAATAATCACACAAAATCAGAAGCAAAAATTTTGGCGACTTTTTAAACAGGTATATTCGAATGACTGTTAGGAAAAATGCAAAACATCAAGAATAAGCTAATCAACTGTACAATTATTCTAGCTAATATAACGGCGCTGTTGAGTGTGGTTTGATTTTGTTAAAAAATATTGACTCAAAAAAAGTACGCACGTAAAACAATCTTATCCATAAGCAAATTGCTAATACAAGAACGTTTTTGTATTTCAAGGAGAGTCTTTAAAAAGTCGAAACTAGTGACAAAGTTTGCAGAAAAATAAATCAACGCTTTTATGAAAAGATGCTTTCAATGAACATAACAATGGTAACTTCATATTTCAGACAATTATTTGTTAACCCATTCGAACACACATATGTCTGCATTTTTAGTTACTAATTATGTTTGTAAAAAATATGAATGAACAAAAATATAAAGTATACATTGTTTTCCATTATACATTGATTACTTACTTCATCAATATACAATTATTGACTATTTTGTATCATTAATTTCAGGAGAATTTTCAAACTCGTCGAATAATCACACAAAATCAGAAGCAAAAACGTTGGCGACTTTTCAACAGGTATATTCTAATGACTGTTAGGAAAAATGCAAAACATTAAGATCAAGCTAATCAACTGTACAATTATTCTACCTAATATAACGGCGCTGTTGAGTGTGGTTTACTTTTGTTAAAAATATTTACTCAAAAAAAGTACGCACGTAAAACAATCTTATCCATAACAAACTGCTAATAATAGAACGTTTTTGTATTTCAAGGAGAGTCTTTAAATAGTCGAAACTAGTGACAAAGTTTGCAGAAAAAAACAGCGCTTTTATGGAAAGATGCTTTCAATGAACATAACAATGGTATCTTTATATTTCAGACAATTATTTGTTAACCCATTCGAACACATATATATATGCATTCTTAGTTATTGATTATTTTTGTAAAAAATCTGAATGAACAAAAATATATAGTATAGACTGTTTTCCATTATACATTGATTACTTACTTCATCAATATACAATTATTGACTATTTTGTATTAATTTCAGGAGAATGTTTAAACTCGTCGAATAATAACACAAAATCAGAAGCAAACATTTTGGCGACTTTTTAAACAGGTATATTCGAATGACTGTTAGGAAAAATGCAAAACATCAAGAATAAGCTAATCAACTGTACAATTATTCTAGCTAATATAACGGCGCTGTTGAGTGTGGTTTAATTTTGTTAAAAAATATTGACTCCAAAAAAGTACGCACGTAAAACAATCTTATCCATAAGCAATTGCTAATAAAAGAACATTTTTGTATTTCAAGGAGTGTCTTTAAAAAGTCGAAACTAGTGACAAAGTTTGCAGAAAAATAAATCAACGCTTTTATTAAAAGATGCTTTCAATGAACATATCAATGGTAACTTCATATTTCAGACAATTAGTTGTAAACCCATTCGAACACATATACCAGCATTTTTAGTTATTGATTATGTTTGTAAAAAATATGAATGAACAAAAATATATAGTATACACTGTTTTTCATTATACATTGATTACTTACTTCATCAATATACAATTATTGACTATTTTGTATTATTATTTCAGGAGAATGTCCAAACTCGACGAATAATCTCACAAAATCGGAAAAAAACATTTGGCGACTTTTAAAACAGGTATATTCGAATGACTGTTTGAAAAAGCAAAACATCAAGATCAAACAAATGGAATGAACAATTATTCTACCTAATATAACAGCGCTGTTGAGTGTGGTTAAATTTTGTTAAAAATATTAAGTCAAAAAAAGTACTCACGTAAAACAATTTTATCCATAGGCAATTTCTAATAAAAGAACGTTTTTGTATTTCAAGGAGAGTCTTTAAAAAGTCGAAACTAGTGACAAAGTTTTGAGAAGAAAAAAAATCAGCGCTTTTATGAAAGATGCTTTCAATGAATATAACAATAGTAACTTCATAATTCAGACAATTAGTTGTTAACCAATTTGAACACATATGTCTGCATTCTTAGTTATTGATTATTTTTGTCAAAAATATGATTGAACAAAAATATATAGTATACACTGTTTTCCATTATAAATTGATTACTTACTTCATCAATATACAATTATTGACTATTTTGTATTATTAATTTCAGGAGTATTTTCAAACTCGTCGAATAATCACACAAAATCAGAAGCAAAAATTTTGGCGACTTTTTAAACAGGTATATTCGAATGACTGTTAGGAAAAATGCAAAACATCAAGAATAAGCTAATCAACTGTACAATTATTCTAGCTAATATAACGGCGCTGTTGAGTGTGGTTTAATTTTGTTAAAACATTTTGACTCAAAAAAAGTACGCACGTAAAACAATCTTATCCATAAGAAAATTGCTAATACAAGAACGTTTTTGTATTTCAAGGAGTCTTTAAAAAGTCGAAACTAGTGACAAAGTTTGCAGAAAAATAAATCAACGCTTTTATGAAAAGATGCTTTCAATGAACATAACAATGGTAACTTCATATTTCAGACAATTATTTGTTAACCCATTCGAACACACATATGTCTGCATTTTTAGTTACTAATTATGTTTGTAAAAAATATGAATGAACAAAAATATAAAGTATACATTGTTTTCCATTATACATTGATTACTTACTTCATCAATATACAATTATTGACTATTTTGTATCATTAATTTCAGGAGAATTTTCAAACTCGTCGAATAATCACACAAAATCAGAAGCAAAAACGTTGGCGACTTTTCAACAGGTATATTCTAATGACTGTTAGGAAAAATGCAAAACATTAAGATCAAGCTAATCAACTGTACAATTATTCTACCTAATATAACGGCGCTGTTGAGTGTGGTTTACTTTTGTTAAAAATATTTACTCAAAAAAAGTACGCACGTAAAACAATCTTATCCATAACAAACTGCTAATAAAAGAACGTTTTTGTATTTCAAGGAGAGTCTTTAAATAGTCGAAACCAGTGACAAAGTTTGCAGAAAAAAACAGCGCTTTTATGGAAAGATGCTTTCAATGAACATAACAATGGTATCTTCATATTTCAGACAATTATTTGTTAACCCATTCGAACACATATATATATGCATTTTTACTTATTGATTATTTTTGTAAAAAATCTGAATGAACAAAAATATATAGTATACACTGTTTTCCATTATACATTGATTACTTACTTCATCAATATACAATTATTGACTATTTTGTATTAATTTCAGGAGAATGTTTAAACTCGTCGAATAATAACACAAAATCAGAAGCAAACATTTGGGCGACTTTTTAAACAGGTATATTCGAATGACTGTTAGGAAAAATGCAAAGATTAAGATCAAGCTAATCAACTGTACAATTATTCTACCTAATATAACGGCGCTGTTGAGTGTGGTTTAATTTTGTTAAAAATATTGACTCCAAAAAAATACGCACGTAAAACAATCTTATCCATAAGCAACTGCTAATAAAAGAACGTTTTTGTATTTGAAGGAGAGTCTTTAAATATTCGAAACTAGTGACAAAGTTTACAGAAAAAAAACAGCGCTTTTATGGAAAGATGCTTTCAATGAACATAACAATGGTATCTTCATATTTCAGACAATTATTTGTTAACCCATTCGAACACATATATATCTGCATTCTTAGTTATTGATTATTTTTGTAAAAAATCTGAATGAACAAAAATATATAGGATACACTGTTTTCCATTATACATTGATTACTTACTTCATCAATATACAATTATTGACTATTTTGTATTGTTAATTTCCAAAGAATGTTCAGTGTGGTTTAATTTTGTTAAAAATATTGACTCCAAAAAAATACGAACGTAAAACAATCTTATCCATAAGCAATTGCTAATAAAAGAACGTTTTTGTATTTCAAGGAGAGTCTTTAAAAAGTCGAAACTAGTGACAAAGTTTGCAGAAAAATAAATCAACGCTTTTATGAAAGGATGCTTTCAATGAACATAACAATGGTAACTTCATATTTCAGACAATTAGATGAAAACCCATTCGAACACACATACCTGCATTTTTAGTTACTAATTATGTTTGTAAAAAATATGAATGAACAAAAATATATAGTATACATTGTTTTCCATTATACATTGATTACTTACTTCATCAATATACAATTATTGACTATTTTGTATTATTAATTTCAGGAGAGTTTTCAAACTCGTCGAATAATCACACAAAATCAGAAGCAAAAACGTTGGCGACTTTTCAACAGGTATATTCTAATGACTGTTAGGAAAAATGCAAAACATCAAGATCCAGCTAATCAACTGTACAATTATTCTACCTAATATAACGGCGCTGTTGAGTGTGGTTTACTTTTGTTAAAAATATTGACTCCAAAAAAGTACGCACGTAAAACAATCTTATCCATAAGCAATTGCTAATAAAAGAACGTTTTTGTATTTCAAGGAGAGTCTTTAAATAGTCGAAACTAGTGACAAAGTTTGCAGAAAAAAACAGCGCTTTTATGGAAAGATGCTTTCAATGAACATAACAATGGTATCTTCATATTTCAGACAATTATTTGTTAACCCATTCGAACACATATATATATGCATTCTTAGTTATTGATTATTTTTGTAAAAAATCTGAATGAACAAAAATATATAGTATACACTGTTTTCCATTATACATTGATTACTTACTTCATCAATATACAATTATTGACTATTTTGTATTAATTTCAGGAGAATGTTTAAACTCGTCGAATAATAACACAAAATCAGAAGCAAACATTTGGGCGACTTTTTAAACAGGTATATTCGAATGACTGTTAGGAAAAATGCAAAACATCAAGAATAAGCTAATCAACTGTACAATTATTCTAGCTAATATAACGGCGCTGTTGAGTGTGGTTTAATTTTGTTAAAAAATATTGACTCCAAAAAAGTACGCACGTAAAACAATCTTATCCATAAGCAATTGCTAATAAAAGAACGTTTTTGTATTTCAAGGAGTGTCTTTAAAAAGTCGAAACTAGTGACAAAGTTTGCAGAAAAATAAATCAACGCTTTTATTAAAAGATGCTTTCAATGAACATATCAATGGTAACTTCATATTTCAGACAATTAGTTGTAAACCCATTCGAACACATATACCAGCATTTTTAGTTATTGATTATGTTTGTAAAAAATATGAATGAACAAAAATATATAGTATACACTGTTTTCCATTATACATTGATTACTTACTTCATCAATATACAATTATTGACTATTTTGTATTATTATTTCAGGAGAATGTCCAAACTCGCCGAATAATCTCACAAAATCGGAAAAAAACATTTGGCGACTTTTTAAACAGGTATATTCGAATGACTGTTTGAAAAAGCAAAACATCAAGATCAAACAAATGAAATGAACAATTATTCTACCTAATATAACAGCGCTGTTGAGTGTGGTTAAATTTTGTTAAAAATATTAAGTCAAAAAAAGTACGCACGTAAAACAATTTTATCCATAGGCAATTTCTAATAAAAGAACGTTTTTGTATTTCAAGGAGAGTCTTTAAAAAGTCGAAACTAGTGACAAAGTTTGGAGAAAAAAAAAATCAGCGCTTTTATGAAAGATGCTTTCAATGAATATAACAATAGTAACTTCATAATTCAGACAATAAGTTGTTAACCAATTTGAACACATATGTCTGCATTCTTAGTTATTGATTATTTTTGTCAAAAATATGATTGAACAAAAATATATAGTATACACTGTTTTCCATTATACATTGATTACTTACTTCATCAATATACAATTATTGACTATTTTGTATTATTAATTTCAGGAGTATTTTCAAACTCGTCGAATAATCACACAAAATCAGAAGCAAAAATTTTGGCGACTTTTTAAACAGGTATATTCGAATGACTGTTAGGAAAAATGCAAAACATCAAGAATAAGCTAATCAACTGTACAATTATTCTAGCTAATATAACGGCGCTGTTGAGTGTGGTTTAATTTTGTTAAAAAATATTGACTCAAAAAAAGTACGCACGTAAAACAATCTTATCCATAAGCAAATTGCTAATACAAGAACGTTTTTGTATTTCAAGGAGAGTCTTTAAAAAGTCGAAACTAGTGACAAAGTTTGCAGAAAAATAAATCAACGCTTTTATGAAAAGATGCTTTCAATGAACATAACAATGGTAACTTCATATTTCAGACAATTATTTGTTAACCCATTCGAACACACATATGTCTGCATTTTTAGTTACTAATTATGTTTGTAAAAAATATGAATGAACAAAAATATAAAGTGTACATTGTTTTCTATTATACATTGATTACTTACTTCATCAATATACAATTATTGACTATTTTGTATCATTAATTTCAGGAGTATTTTCAAACTCGTCGAATAATCACACAAAATCAGAAGCAAAAACGTTGGCGACTTTTCAACAGGTATATTCTAATGACTGTTAGGAAAAATGCAAAACATTAAGATCAAGCTAATCAACTGTACAATTATTCTACCTAATATAACGGCGCTGTTGAGTGTGGTTTACTTTTGTTAAAAATATTTACTCAAAAAAAGTACGCACGTAAAACAATCTTATCCATAACAAACTGCTAATAAAAGAACGTTTTTGTATTTCAAGGAGAGTCTTTAAATAGTCGAAACTAGTGACAAAGTTTGCAGAAAAAAACAGCGCTTTTATGGAAAGATGCTTTCAATGAACATAACAATGGTATCTTCATATTTCAGACAATTATTTGTTAACCCATTCGAACACATATATATATGCATTCTTAGTTATTGATTATTTTTGTAAAAAATCTGAATGAACAAAAATATATAGTATACACTGTTTTCCATTATACATTGATTACTTACTTCATCAATATACAATTATTGACTATTTTGTATTAATTTCAGGAGAATGTTTAAACTCGTCGAATAATAACACAAAATCAGAAGCAAACATTTTGGCGACTTTTTAAACAGGTATATTCGAATGACTGTTAGGAAAAATGCAAAACATCAAGAATAAGCTAATCAACTGTACAATTATTCTAGCTAATATAACGGCGCTGTTGAGTGTGGTTTAATTTTGTAAAAAAAAATTGACTCCAAAAAAGTACGCACGTAAAACAATCTTATCCATAAGCAATTGCTAATAAAAGAACATTTTTGTATTTCAAGGAGTGTCTTTAAAAAGTCGAAACTAGTGACAAAGTTTGCAGAAAAATAAATCAACGCTTTTATTAAAAGATGCTTTCAATGAACATATCAATGGTAACTTCATATTTCAGACAATTAGTTGTAAACCCATTCGAACACATATACCAGCATTTTTAGTTATTGATTATGTTTGTAAAAAATATGAATGAACAAAAATATATAGTATACACTGTTTTTCATTATACATTGATTACTTACTTCATCAATATACAATTATTGACTATTTTGTATTATTATTTCAGGAGAATGTCCAAACTCGACGAATAATCTCACAAAATCGGAAAAAAACATTTGGCGACTTTTAAAACAGGTATATTCGAATGACTGTTTGAAAAAGCAAAACATCAAGATCAAACAAATGGAATGAACAATTATTCTACCTAATATAACAGCGCTGTTGAGTGTGGTTAAATTTTGTTAAAAATATTAAGTAAAAAAAAGTACTCACGTAAAACAATTTTATCCATAGGCAATTTCTAATAAAAGAACGTTTTTGTATTTCAAGGAGAGTCTTTAAAAAGTCGAAACTAGTGACAAAGTTTTGAGAAAAAAAAAATCAGCGCTTTTATGAAAGATGCTTTCAATGAATATAACAATAGTAACTTCATAATTCAGACAATTAGTTGTTAACCAATTTGAACACATATGTCTGCATTCTTAGTTATTGATTATTTTTGTCAAAAATATGATTGAACAAAAATATATAGTATACACTGTTTTCCATTATAAATTGATTACTTACTTCATCAATATACAATTATTGACTATTTTGTATTATTAATTTCAGGAGTATTTTCAAACTCGTCGAATAATCACACAAAATCAGAAGCAAAAATTTTGGCGACTTTTTAAACAGGTTATTCGAATGACTGTTAGGAAAAATGCAAAACATCAAGAATAAGCTAATCAACTGTACAATTATTCTAGCTAATATAACGGCGCTGTTGAGTGTGATTTAATTTTGTTAAAACATTTTGACTCAAAAAAAGTACGCACGTAAAACAATCTTATCCATAAGAAAATTGCTAATACAAGAACGTTTTTGTATTTCAAGGAGTCTTTAAAAAGTCGAAACTAGTGACAAAGTTTGCAGAAAAATAAATCAACGCTTTTATGAAAAGATGCTTTCAATGAACATAACAATGGTAACTTCATATTTCAGACAATTATTTGATAACCCATTCGAACACACATATGTCTGCATTTTTAGTTACTAATTATGTTTGTAAAAAATATGAATGAACAAAAATATAAAGTATACATTGTTTTCCATTATACATTGATTACTTACTTCATCAATATACAATTATTGACTATTTTGTATCATTAATTTCAGGAGAATTTTCAAACTCGTCGAATAATCACACAAAATCAGAAGCAAAAACGTTGGCGACTTTTCAACAGGTATATTCTAATGACTGTTAGGAAAAATGCAAAACATTAAGATCAAGCTAATCAACTGTACAATTATTCTACCTAATATAACGGCGCTGTTGAGTGTGGTTTACTTTTGTTAAAAATATTTACTCAAAAAAAGTACGCACGTAAAACAATCTTATCCATAACAAACTGCTAATAAAAGAACGTTTTTGTATTTCAAGGAGAGTCTTTAAATAGTCGAAACCAGTGACAAAGTTTGCAGAAAAAAACAGCGCTTTTATGGAAAGATGCTTTCAATGAACATAACAATGGTATCTTCATATTTCAGACAATTATTTGTTAACCCATTCGAACACATATATATATGCATTCTTAGTTATTGATTATTTTTGTAAAAAATCTGAATGAACAAAAATATATAGTATACACTGTTTTCCATTATACATTGATTACTTACTTCATCAATATACAATTATTGACTATTTTGTATTAATTTCAGGAGAATGTTTAAACTCGTCGAATAATAACACAAAATCAGAAGCAAACATTTGGGCGACTTTTTAAACAGGTATATTCGAATGACTGTTAGGAAAAATGCAAAGATTAAGATCAAGCTAATCAACTGTACAATTATTCTACCTAATATAACGGCGCTGTTGAGTGTGGTTTAATTTTGTTAAAAATATTGACTCCAAAAAAATACGCACGTAAAACAATCTTATCCATAAGCAACTGCTAATAAAAGAACGTTTTTGTATTTGAAGGAGAGTCTTTAAATATTCGAAACTAGTGACAAAGTTTACAGAAAAAAAATAGCGCTTTTATGGAAAGATGCTTTCAATGAACATAACAATGGTATCTTCATATTTCAGACAATTATTTGTTAACCCATTCGAACACATATATATCTGCATTCTTAGTTATTGATTATTTTTGTAAAAAATCTGAATGAACAAAAATATATAGGATACACTGTTTTCCATTATACATTGATTACTTACTTCATCAATATACAATTATTGACTATTTTGTATTGTTAATTTCCAAAGAATGTTCAGTGTGGTTTAATTTTGTTAAAAATATTGACTCCAAAAAAATACGAACGTAAAACAATCTTATCCATAAGCAATTGCTAATAAAAGAACGTTTTTGTATTTCAAGGAGAGTCTTTAAAAAGTCGAAACTAGTGACAAAGTTTGCAGAAAAATAAATCATCGCTTTTATGAAAGGATGCTTTCAATGAACATAACAATGGTAACTTCATATTTCAGACAATTAGATGAAAACCCATTCGAACACACATACCTGCATTTTTAGTTACTAATTATGTTTGTAAAAAATATGAATGAACAAAAATATATAGTATACATTGTTTTCCATTATACATTGATTACTTACTTCATCAATATACAATTATTGACTATTTTTTATTATTAATTTCAGGAGAGTTTTCAAACTCGTCGAATAATCACACAAAATCAGAAGCAAAAACGTTGGCGACTTTTCAACAGGTATATTCTAATGACTGTTAGGAAAAATGCAAAACATCAAGATCCAGCTAATCAACTGTACAATTATTCTACCTAATATAACGGCGCTGTTGAGTGTGGTTTACTTTTGTTAAAAATATTGACTCCAAAAAAGTACGCACGTAAAACAATCTTATCCATAAGCAACTGCTAATAAAAGAACGTTTTTGTATTTGAAGGAGAGTCTTTAAATATTCGAAACTAGTGACAAAGTTTACAGAAAAAAAACAGCGCTTTTATGGAAAGATGCTTTCAATGAACATAACAATGGTATCTTCATATTTCAGACAATTATTTGTTAACCCATTCGAACACATATATATCTGCATTCTTAGTTATTGATTAATTTTGTAAAAAATCTGAATGAACAAAAATATATAGTATACACTGTTTTCCATTATACATTGATTACTTACTTCATCAATATACAATTATTGACTTTTTTGTATTATTAATTTCAGGAGAATGTTTAAACTCGTCGAATAATCACACAAAATGAGAAGCAAACATTTTGGCGACTTTTTAAACAGGTATATTCGAATGACTCTTAGGAAAAATGCAAAACATCAAGAATAAGCTAATCAACTGTACAATTATTCTACCTAATATAACGGCGCTGTTGAGTGTGGTTTAATTTTGTTAAAAATATTGACTCTAAAAAAATACGCACGTAAAACAATCTTATCTATAAGCAATTGCGAATAAAAGAACATTTATGTATTGCAAGGAAAGTCTTTAAAATACCGAAATTAGTGACAAAGTTTGCAGAAAAATAAATCAGCCCTTTTATGAAAAGATGCTTTCAATAAACATAACAATGGTAACTTCATATTTCAGACAGTTAGTTGTAAACCCATTCGAACACATAAATATCTGCATTCTTAGTTATTGATTATTTTTGTAAAAAATCTGAATGAACACAAATATATAGGATACACTGTTTTCCATTATACATTGATTACTTACTTCATCAATATACAATTATTGACTATTTTGTATTGTTAATTTCCAAAGAATGTTCAAACTCGCCGAATAATCACACAAAATCGGAAGAAAACATTTGGCGACTTTTTAAACAGGTATATTCGAATGACTGTTTGCAAAAAGCAAAACATCAAGATCAAGCTAATGAAATGAACAATTATTCTACCTAATATAACAGCGCTGTTGAGTGTGGTTAAATTTTGTTAAAAATATTAAGTCAAAAAAAGTACGCACGTAAAACAATTTTATCCATAGGCAATTTCTAATAAAAGAACGTTTTTGTATTTTAAGGAGAGTCTTTAAAAAGTCGAAACTAGTGACAAAGTTTACAGAAAAAAAAAATCAGTGCTTTTATGAAAAGATGCTTTCAATGAATATAACAATAATAACTTCTTAATTCAGACAATTAGTTGTTAACCAATTTGAACACATATGTCTGCATTCTTAGTTATTGATTATTTTTGTCAAAAATATGATTGAACAAAAATATATAGTATACACTGTTTTCCATTATACATTGATTACTTACTTCATCAATATACAATTATTGACTATTTTGTATTATTAATTTCAGGAGTATTTTCAAACTCGTCGATTAATCACACAAAATCAGAAGCAAAAATTTTGGCGACTTTTTAAACAGGTATATTCGAATGACTGTTAGGAAAAATGCAAAACATCAAGAATAAGCTAATCAACTGTATAATTATTCTACCTAATATAACGGCGCTGTTGAGTGTGGTTTAATTTTGTTAAAAATATTGACTCCAAAAAAATACACACGTAAAACAATCTTATTCATAAGCAATTGCTAATAAAAGAACGTTTTGTATTTCAAGGATAGTCTTTAAAAAGTCGGAACTAGTGACAAAGTTTGCAGAAAAAAAACAGCGCTTTTATGGAAAGATGCTTTCAATGAACATAACAATGGTATCTTCATATTTCAGACAATTAGTTGTAAACCCATTCGAACACATATACCAGCATTTTTAGTTATTGATTATGTTTGTAAAAAATATGAATGAACAAAAATATATAGTATACACTGTTTTCCATTATACATTGATTACTTACTTCACCAATATACAATTATTGACTATTTTGTATTATTAATTTCAGGAGAATTTTCAAACTCGACGAATAATCACACAAAATCAAAAGCAAAAATTTCGGCAACTTTTTAAACAGGTACATTTGAATGACTGTGAGGAAAAATGCAAAGCATCAAGATCAAGCTTAACAACTGTACAATTATTCTACCTAATATAACGGCGCTGTTGAGTGTGGTTTACTTTTGTTAAAAATATTGACTCAAAAAAAGTACGCACGTAAAACAATCTTATCCATAAGCAACTGCTAATAAAAGAACGTTTTTGTATTTCAAGAATAGTCTTTAAATAGTCGAAACCAGTGACAAAGTTTGCAGAAAAAAACAGCGCTTTTATGGAAAGATGCTTTCAATGAACATAACAATGGTATCTCCATATTTCAGACAAGTATTTGTTAACCCATTCGAACACATATATATCTGCATTCTTAGTTATAGATTATTTTTGTAAAAAATCTGAATGAACAAAAATATATAGTATACACTGTTTTCCATTATACATTGATTACTTACTTCATCAATATACAATTATTGAATATTTTGTATTATAAATTTCAGGAGAATGTTCAAACTCGCCGAATAATCTCACAAAATCGGAAGAAAACATTTGGCGACTTTTTAAACAGGTATATTCGAATGACTGTTTGCAAAAGGCAAAACATCAAGATCAAGCTAATGAAATGTACAATTATTCTAGCTAATATGACGGCGCTGTTGAGTGTGGTTAAATTTTGATAAAAATATTGACTCAAAAAAAGTACGCACTTAAAACAATCTTATTCATATGCAATTGCGAATAAAAGAACGTTTTTGTTTTGCAAGAAGAGTCTTTAAAATGTCGGAACTAGTGACAAAGTTTGCAGAAAAAATCAATCAGCCCTTTTATATATATGAAAAGATGTTTTCAATGAACATAACAATGGTAACTTCATATTTCAGACAATTAGTTATAAACCTATTCGAACACATATATCCTCATTCTTAAATACTGATTTTTTTTGTAAAAAATATGAATGAACAAAAATATATAGTATACATTGTTTTCCATTATAGATTGATTACTTACTTCATCGATATATGCAAAACATCAAGAATAAGCTAATCAACTGTACAATTATTCTATCTAATATAACGGCGCTGTTGAGTGTGGTTTAATTGTGTTAAAAATGTTGACTCAAAAAAAAGGTAGGCACGTAAAACAATCTTACTCATAAGCAATTGCGAATAAAAAAACGCTTTTCTATTGGAAGGAGAGTATTTAAAAAGTCGGAACTAGTGACAAAGTTTACAGAAAAATAAATCAGCCCTTTTATGAAAAGATGTTTTCAATGAACAAAACAATGGTAACTTCATATTTCAGACAATTAGTTGTAAACCCATTCGAAAACACATATCTACATTCTTAGTTACTAATTATTTTCGTAAAAAATCTGAATAAACAAAAATTTATAGTGTACATTGTTTTCCATTATACATTGATTACATCATTCATCAATATACGATTATTGACTATTTGGTATTATTAATTTCAGGAGAATTATCAAACTCGTCGAATAATCACACAAAATCAGAAGCAAACATTTTGGCGACTTTTTAAACAGGTATATTCGAATGACTGTTAGGAAAAAGCAAAACATAAAGAATAAGCTAATCAACTGTACAATTATTCTACCTAATATAACGGCGCTGTTGAGTGTGGTTTAATTTTATTAAAAATATTGACTCCAAAAAAAAATACGCACGTGGAACAATCTTATCCATAAGCAATTGCTAATAAAAGAACGTTTTTGTATTTCAAGGAGAGTCTTTAAAAAGTCGAAACTAGTGACAAAGTTTGCAGAAAAATAAATCAACGCTTTTATGAAAAGATACTTTAAATGAACATAACAATGATAACTTCATATTTCAGACAATTAGACGTAAACCCATTCGAACACACATACCTGCATTTTTAGTTACTAATTATGTTTGTAAAAATATGAATGCACAAAAATATATAGTATACATTGTTATCCATTATACATTGATTACTTACTTCATCAATATACAATTATTGACTATTTTGTATTATTAACTTCAGGAGAATTTTCAAACTCGTCGAATAATCTCACCAAATGGGAAGAAACAGTTTGGCGACTTTTTAAACAGGTATATTCGAATGACTGTTAGGAAAAAAGCAAAACATCAAGATCAAGCTAATCAACTGTACAGTTATTCTACCTAATATAACGGCGCTGTTGAGTGTGGTTTACTTTTGTTAAAAATATTGACTCAAAAAAAGTACGCACGTAAAACAATCTTATCCATAAGCAATTGCTAATAAAAGAACGTTTTTGTATTTCAAGGAGTGTCTTTAAAAAGTCGAAACTAGTGACAAAGTTTGCAGAAAAATAAATCAACGCTTTTATTAAAAGATGCTTTCAATGAACATATCAATGGTAACTTCATATTTCAGACAATTAGTTGTAAACCCATTCGAACACATATACCAGCATTTTTAGTTATTGATTATGTTTGTAAAAAATATGAATGAACAAAAATATATAGTATACACTGTTTTCCATTATACATTGATTACTTACTTCATCAATATACAATTATTGACTATTTTGTATTATTATTTCAGGAGAATGTCCAAACTCGCCGAATAATCTCACAAAATCGGAAGAAAACATTTGGCGACTTTTTAAACAGGTATATTCGAATGACTGTTTGAAAAAGCAAAACATCAAGATCAAACAAATGAAATGAACAATTATTCTACCTAATATAACAGCGCTGTTGAGTGTGGTTAACTTTTGTTAAAAATATTAAGTCAAAAAAGTTACGCACGTAAAACAATTTTATCCATAGGCAATTTCTAATAAAAGAACGTTTTTGTATTTCAAGGAGAGTCTTTAAAAAGTCGAAACTAGTGACAAAGTTTGGAGAAAACAAAAATCAGCGCTTTTATGAAAGATGCTTTCAATGAATATGACAATAGTAACTTCATAATTCAGACAATTAGTTGTTAACCAATTTAAACACATATGTTTGCATTCTTAGTTATTGATTATTTTTGTCAAAAATATGATTGAACAAAAATATAGAGTATACACTGTTTTCCATTATACATTGATTACTTACTTCATCAATATACAATTATTGACTATTTTGTATTATTAATTTCAGGAGTATTTTCAAACTCGTCGAATAATCACACAAAATCAGAAGCAAAAATTTTGGCGACTTTTTAAACAGGTTATTCGAATGACTGTTAGGAAAAATGCAAAACATCAAGAATAAGCTAATCAACTGTACAATTATTCTAGCTAATATAACGGCGCTGTTGAGTGTGGTTTAATTTTGTTAAAAAATATTGACTCCAAAAAAGTATGCACGTAAAACAATCTTATCCATAAGCAAATTGCTAATACAAGAACGTTTTTGTATTTCAAGGAGAGTCTTTAAAAAGTCGAAACTAGTGACAAAGTTTGCAGAAAAATAAATAAACGCTTTTATGAAAAGATGCTTTCAATGAACATAACAATGGTAACTTCATATTTCAGACAATTATTTGTTAACCCATTCGAACACACATATGTCTGCATTTTTAGTTACTAATTATGTTTGTAAAAAATATGAATGAACAAAAATATAAAGTATACATTGTTTTCCATTATACATTGATTACTTACTTCATCAATATACAATTATTGACTATTTTGTATCATTAATTTCAGGAGAATTTTCAAACTCGTCGAATAATCACACAAAATCAGAAGCAAAAACGTTGGCGACTTTTCAACAGGTATATTCTAATGACTGTTAGGAAAAATGCAAAACATTAAGATCAAGCTAATCAACTGTACAATTATTCTACCTAATATAACGGCGCTGTTGAGTGTGGTTTACTTTTGTTAAAAATATTTACTCAAAAAAAGTACGCACGTAAAACAATCTTATCCATAACAAACTGCTAATAAAAGAACGTTTTTGTATTTCAAGGAGAGTCTTTAAATAGTCGAAACTAGTGACAAAGTTTGCAGAAAAAAACAGCGCTTTTATGGAAAGATGCTTTCAATGAACATACCAATGGTATCTTCATATTTCAGACAATTATTTGTTAACTCATTCGAACACATATATATATATGCATTCTTCGTTATTGATTATTTTTGTAAAAAATCTGAATGAACAAAAATATATAGTATACACTGTTTTCCATTATACATTGATTACTTACTTCATCAATATACAATTATTGACTATTTTGTATTAATTTCAGGAGAATGTTTAAACTCGTCGAATAATAACACAAAATCAGAAGCAAACATTTGGGCGACTTTTTAAACAGGTATATTCGAATGACTGTTTGGAAAAATGCAAAACATCAAGAATAAGCCTATCAACTGTACAATTATTCTACCTAATATAACGGCGCTGTTGAGTGTGGTTTAATTTTTATTAAAAATATTGACTCCAAAAAAGTACGCATGTAAAACAATCTTATCCATAAGTAATTGCGAATAAAAGAACATTTTTGTATTGCAAGGACAGTCTTTAAAATACCGAAATTAGTGACAAAGTTTGCAAAAAAATACATCAGCCCTTTTATGAAAAGATGCTTTCAATGAACATAACAATGGTAACTTCATATTTCAAAAAATTAGTTGTAAACCCATTCGAACACATATACCAGCATTTTTAGTTATTGATTATGTTTGTAAAAAATATGAATGAACAAAAATATATAGTATACACTGTTTACCATCATACATTGATTACTTACTTCATCAATATACAATTATTGACTATTTTGTATTATTAATTTCAGGAGAATTATCAAATTCGTCGAATAATCACACAAAATCAGAAGCAAAAATTTTGGCGACTTTTTAAACAGGTATATTTGAATGACTGTTAGGAAAAATGCAAAACATCCAGAATAAGCTAATCAACTGTATAATTATTCTACCTAATATAACGGCGCTGTTGAGTGTGGTTTAATTTTGTTAAAAATATTGACTCCAAAAAAATACGCACGTAAAACAATCTTATCCATAAGCAATTGCTAATAAAAGAACGTTTTTGTATATCAAGGAGAGTCTTTAAAAAGTCGAAACTAGTGACAAAGTTTGCAGAAAAATAAATCAACGCTTTTATGAAAAGATGCTTTCAATGAACATAACAATGGTAACTTCATATTTCAGACATTTAGATGAAAACCCATTCGAACACACATACCTGCATTTTTAGTTACTAATTATGTTTGTAAAAAATATGAATGAACAAAAATATATAGTATACATTGTTTTCCATTATACATTGATTACTTACTTCATCAATATACAATTATTGACTATTTTGCATAATTATATTCAGGAGAAGTTTCAAACTCGTCGAATAATCACACAAAATCAGAAGCAAAAACGTTGGCGACTTTTCAACAGGTATATTCTAATGACTGTTAGGAAAAATGCAAAACATTAAGATCAAGCTAATCAACTGTACAATTATTCTACCTAATATAACGGCGCTGTTGAGTGTGGTTTACTTTTGTTAAAAATATTTACTCAAAAAAAGTACGCACGTAAAACAATCTTATCCATAACAAACTGCTAATAAAAGAACGTTTTTGTATTTCAAGGAGAGTCTTTAAATAGTCGAAACTAGTGACAAAGTTTGCAGAAAAAAACAGCGCTTTTATGGAAAGATGCTTTCAATGAACATAACAATGGTATCTTCATATTTCAGACAATTATTTGTTAACCCATTCGAACACATATATATATGCATTCTTCGTTATTGATTATTTTTGTAAAAAATCTGAATGAACAAAAATATATAGTATACACTGTTTTCCATTATACATTGATTACTTACTTCATCAATATACAATTATTGACTATTTTGTATTAATTTCAGGAGAATGTTTAAACTCGTCGAATAATAACACAAAATCAGAAGCAAACATTTGGGCGACTTTTTAAACAGGTATATTCGAATGACTGTTAGGAAAAATGCAAAACATCAAGAATAAGCTAATCAACTGTACAATTATTCTAGCTAATATAACGGCGCTGTTGAGTGTGGTTTAATTTTTATTAAAAATATTGACTCCAAAAAAATACGCACGTAAAACAATCTTATCCATAAGTAATTGCGAATAAAAGAACATTTTTGTATTGCAAGGAAAGTCTTTAAAATACCGAAATTAGTGACAAAGTTTGCAAAAAAATACATCAGCCCTTTTATGAAAAGATGCTTTCAATGAACATAACAATGGTAACTTCATATTTCAAAAAATTAGTTGTAAACCCATTCGAACACATATACCAGCATTTTTAGTTATTGATTATGTTTGTAAAAAATATGAATGAACAAAAATATATAGTATACACTGTTTACCATCATACATTGATTACTTACTTCATCAATATACAATTATTGACTATTTTGTATTATTAATTTCAGGAGAATTATCAAATTCGTCGAATAATCACACAAAATCAGAAGCAAAAATTTTGGCGACTTTTTAAACAGGTATATTTGAATGACTGTTAGGAAAAATGCAAAACATCCAGAATAAGCTAATCAACTGTATAATTATTCTACCTAATATAACGGCGCTGTTGAGTGTGGTTTAATTTTGTTAAAAATATTGACTCCAAAAAAATACGCACGTAAAACAATCTTATCCATAAGCAATTGCTAATAAAAGAACGTTTTTGTATTTCAAGGAGAGTCTTTAAAAAGTCGAAACTAGTGACAAAGTTTGCAGAAAAATAAATCAACGCTTTTATGAAAAGATGCTTTCAATGAACATAACAATGGTAACTTCATATTTCAGACAATTAGATGAAAACCCATTCGAACACACATACCTGCATTTTTAGTTACTAATTATGTTTGTAAAAAATATGAATGAACAAAAATATATAGTATACATTGTTTTCCATTATACATTGATTACTTACTTCATCAATATACAATTATTGACTATTTTGTATAATTAATTTCAGGAGAATTTTCAAACTCGTCGAATAATCACACAAAATCAGAAGCAAAAACGTTGGCGACTTTTCAACAGGTATATTCTAATGACTGTTAGGAAAAATGCAAAACATCAAGATCCAGCTAATCAACTGTACAATTATTCTACCTAATATAACGGCGCTGTTGAGTGTGGTTAACTTTTGTTAAAAATATTGACTCCAAAAAAGTACGCACGTAAAACAATCTTATCCATAAGCAACTGCTAATAAAAGAACGTTTTTGTATTTGAAGGAGAGTCTTTAAATATTCGAAACTAGTGACAAAGTTTACAGAAAAAAAAAACAGCGCTTTTATGGAAAGATGCTTTCAATGAACATAACAATGGTATCTTCATATTTCAGACAATTATTTGTTAACCCATTCGAACACATATATATCTGCATTCTTAGTTATTGACTAATTTTGTAAAAAATCTGAATGAACAAAAATATATAGTATACACTGTTTTCCATTATACATTGATTACTTACTTCATCAATATACAATTATTGACTTTTTTGTATAATTAATTTCAGGAGAATGTTTAAACTCGTCGAATAATCACACACAATCAGAAGCAAACATTTTGGCGACTTTTTAAACAGGTATATTCGAATGACTATTAGGGAAAATGCAAAACATCAAGAATAAGCTAATCAACTGTACAATTATTCTACCTAATATAACGGCGCTGTTGAGTGTGGTTTAATTTTGTTAAAAATATTGACTCTAAAAAAATACGCACGTAAAACAATCTTATCCATAAGCAATTGCGAATAAAAGAACATTTATGTATTGCAAGGAAAGTCTTTAAAATACCGAAATTAGTGACAAAGTTTGCAGAAAAATAAATCAGCCCTTTTATGAAAAGATGCTTTCAATGAACATAACAATGGTAACTTCATATTTCAGACAATTAGTTTTAAACCCATTCGAACACATAAATATCTGCATTCTTAGTTATTGATTATTTTTGTAAAAAATCTGAATGAACAAAAATAGATAGGATACACTGTTTTCCATTATACATTGATTACTTACTTCATCAATATACAATTATTGACTATTTTGTATTGTTAATTTCCAAAGAATGTTCAAACTCGCCGAATAATCACACAAAATCGGAAGAAAACATTTGGCGACTTTTTAAACAGGTATATTCGAATGGCTGTTTGCAAAAAGCAAAACATCAAGATCAAACAAATGAAATGAACAATTATTCTACCTAATATAACAGCGCTGTTGAGTGTGGTTAAATTTTGTTAAAAATATTAAGTCAAAAAATGTACGCACGTAAAACAATTTTATCCATAGGCAATTTCTAATAAAAGAACGTTTTTGTATTTCAAGGAGAGTCTTTAAAAAGTCGAAACTAGTGACAAAGTTTGCAGAAAAAAACACAAGCCCTTTTATGAAAAGATGCTTTCAATGAATATAACAATAATAACTTCATAATTCAGACAATTAGTTGTTAACCAATTTGAACACATATGTCTGGATTCTTAGTTATTGATTATTTTTGTCAAAAATATGATTGAACAAAAATATATAGTATACACTGTTTTCCATTATACATTGATTACTTACTTCATCAATATACAATTATTGACTATTTTGTATTATTAATTTCAGGAGTATTTTCAAACTCGTCGATTAATCACACAAAATCAGAAGCAAAAATTTTGGCGACTTTTTAAACAGGTATATTCGAATGACTGTTAGGAAAAATGCAAAACATCAAGAATAAGCTAATCAACTGTACAATTATTCTACCTAATATAACGGCGCTGTTGAGTGTGGTTTAATTTTGTTAAAAAAACTGACTCCAAAAAAATACGCACGTACAACAATCTTATCCATAAGCAATGGCTAATAAAAGAACGTTTTTGTATTTCAAGAGAGTCTTTAAAAAGTCGAAACTAGTGACAAAGTTTGCAGAAAAATAAATCAACGCTTTTATGAAAAGATGCTTTCAATGAACATAACAATGGTAACTTCATATTTCAGACAATTAGTTGTAAACCCATTCGAACACATATACCAGCATTTTTAGTTATTGATTATGTTTGTAAAAAATATGAATGAACAAAAATATATAGTATACACTGTTTTCCATTATACATTGATTACTTACTTCATCAATATACAATTATTGACTATTTTGTATTATTAATTTCAGGAGAATTATCAAACTCGTCGAATAATCACACAAAATCAGAAGCAAAAATTTTGACGAATTTTTAAACAGGTATATTCGAATGACTGTTAGGAAAAATGCAAAACATCAAGAATAAGCTAATCAACTGTACAATTATTCTACCTTATATAACGGCGCTGTTGAGTGTGGTTTAATTTGGTTAAAAATATTGACTCCAAAAAAATACGCACGTAAAACAATCTTATCCATAAGCAATTGCTAATAAAAGAACGTTTTGTATTTCAAGGATAGTCTTTAAAAAGTCGGAACTAGTGACAAAGTTTGCAGAAAAAAAACAGCGCTTTTATGGAAAGATGCTTTCAATGAACATAACAATGGTAACTTCATATTTCAGAATATTATTTGTTAACCCATTCGAACACATATATATCTGCATTCTTAGTTATTGATTATTTTTGTAAAAAATATGAATGAACAAAAATATATAGTATACACTGTTTTCCATTATACATTGATTACTTACTTCATCAATATACAATTATTGACTATTTTGTATTATTAATTTCAGGAGAATTATCAAACTCGTCGAATAATCACACAAAATCAGAAGCAAAAATTTTGACGAATTTTTAAACAGGTATATTCGAATGACTGTTAGGAAAAATGCAAAACATCAAGAATAAGCTAATCAACTGTACAATTATTCTACCTAATATAACGGCGCTGTTGAGTGTGGTTTAATTTTGTTAAAAATATTGACTCCAAAAAAATACGCACGTAAAACAATCTTATCCATAAGCAATTGCTAATAAAAGAACGTTTTTGTATTTCAAAGAGAGTCTTTCAAAAGTCGAAACTAGTGACAAAAATTGCAGAAATATAAATTAGCGCTTTTATGAAAAGATGCTTTCAATAAACCTAAGAATGGTAACTTCATATTTCAGACAATTAGTTGTAAACCCATTCGAACACACATACCTGCATTTTTAGTTACTGATTATGTTTGTTAAAAATCTGAATGAACAAAAATATATAGTATACATTGTTTTCCATTATACATTGATTACTTACTTCATCAATATACAATTATTTACTATTTTGTATTATTAATTTCAGGAGAATATTCAAACTCGTCGAATAATCACACAAAATCAAAAGCAACAATTTCGGCGACTTTTTAAACAGGTATATTCGAATGACTGTTAGGAAAAATATAAAACATCAAGATCAAGCTAATCAACTGTACAATAATTCTACCTATTATAACGGCGCTGTTGAGTGTGGTTTACTTTTGTTAAAAATATTGACTAAAAGAACGTTTTTCTATTGCAAGGAGAGTCTTTTAAAAGTCTAAACTAGTGACAAACTTTGCAGAAAAATAAATGAGCGCTTTTATTAAAAGATGCTTTTAATGAACATAACAATGGTAACTTCATATTTCAGACAATTAGTTGTAAAACCATTCGAACACATATATCTGAAATTGAGAATGGAAATGGGGAATGTGTCAAAGAGACAACAACCCGACCATAGAACAGACAACAGCAGAAGGTCACCAACAGGTCTTTAATGAAGCGAGAAATTCCCTCACCCGGAGGCGTCCTTCAGCTGGCCCCTAAACAAATATATATACTAGTTCAGTGATAATGAACGCCATACTAAACTCCAAATTGTACACCAGAAACTAAAATTAAAAATAATACAAGACTAACAAAGGCTAGAGGCTCCTGACTTGGGACAGGCGCAAAAATGCGGCGGGGTTAAACATGTTTATGAGATCTCAACCCTCCTCCTATACCTCTAGCCAATGTAGAAAAGTAAACGCATAACAATACGCACATTAAAATTCAGTTCAAGAGAAGTCTGAGTCTGATGTCAGAAGATGTAACCAAAGAAAATAAACAAAATGACAATAATACATCAATAACAACAGACTACTAGCAGTTAACTGACATGCCAGCTCCAGACTTCAATTAAACTGATTGAAAGATTATGTCTTCATCATATGAATATCAGGCACAATCCTTCTCGGTAGGGAACTGCAATCTTAGTTACTGATTTTTTTTGTACAAAATCTGAATGAACAAAAATATATAGTATACACTGTTTTCCATAATACATTAATTACTTACTTCATCAATATACAATTATTGACTATTTTGTATTATTATTTTCAGAAAAATGTTCAAACTCGCCGAATAATCTCACAAAATCGGAAGAAATCATTTGGCGACTTTTTAAACAGGTATATTCGAATGACTGTTTGCAAAAAGCAAAACATCAAGATCAAGCTAATCAAATGTACAATTATTCTACCTAATATAACAGCGTTGTTGAGTGCGGTTACATTTTGTTAAAAATATTAACTAAAAAAAGTACGCACTTAAAACAATCTTATCCATTAGCAATTGCGAATAAAAGAACGTTTTTCTATTGCAAGGGGAGTCTTTAAAAAGCCGAAACTAGTGACAAAGTTAGCAAAAAATTAAATCAGCCCTTTTATGAAAAGATGCTTTCAATGAACATAACAATGGTAACTTCATATTTCCGACAATTAGTTGTAAACCCATTCGAACACATATATCTGCATTCTTAGTTACTGATTATTTTTGTAAAAAATATGAATGAACAAAAATATATAGTATACACTGTTTTTCATTATACATTGATTACTTACTTCATCCACATACAATTATTGACTATTTTGTATTATTAATTTCAGAAAAATTTTCAAACTCGTCGAATAATCATACAAAATCAGAAGCAAAAACGTTGGCGACTTTTAAACAGCTATATTCTAATGACTGTTTGCAAAAAGCAAAACATCAAGATCAAGCTAATCAACTATACAGTTATTCCACCTAATAATGGCGCTGTTGAGTGTGGTTTAATTTTGTTAAAAATATTGACTCAAAAAAAGTACGCACGTAAAACAATCTTATCGATAAGCAATTGCTAATAAAAGAACGTTTTTGTATTTCAAGGAGAGTCTTTAAATAGTCGAAACTAGTGACAACGTTTGCAGAAAAATAAATCAGCCCTTTTATGAAAAGATGCTTTCAATGAACATAACGATGGTTACTTCATATTTCAGACAATTAGTTGTAAACCCATTCGAACACATATATCTACATTCTTAGTTACTAATTATTTTCGTAAAAAATCTGAATAAACAAAAATTTATAGTGTACATTGTTTTCCATTATACATTGATTACATACTTTATCAATATACAATTATTGACTATTTGGTATTATTAATTTCAGGAGAATGTTCAAACTCGCCGAATAATCTCACAAAATCGGAAGAAAACATTTGGCTACTTTTTAAACATGTATATTCAAATGACTGTTTGCAAAAAGCAAAACATCGAGATCAAGCTAATCAAATGTACAGTTATTCTACCTAATATAACGGCGCTGTTGAGTGTGGTTTAATTTTGTTTAAAATGTTGACTCAAAAATGGAAGCCACGTAAAACAATCTTATCCATAAGCAATTGCGAATAAAAGAACGTTTTTCTATTGCAAGGAGAGTCTTTAAAAAGTCGGAACTAGTGACAAAATTTGCAGAAAAACAAATCAGTGCTTTTATGAAAAGATACTTTCAATGACGATAACAAAGGCAACTTCATAATTCAGACAATTAGTTGTAAACCCAGTGGACAACATATACCTGCATTTTTAGTTACAGGTTATTTTTGTAAAAAAAATATGATTGAACAAAAATATAGAGTATACACTGTTTTCCATTATACATTGATAACTTACTTCATCAATATACAATTATTGACTCTTTTGTATTATTAATTTCAGGAGAATTTTCAAACTCGTCGAATAATCACACAAAATCAGAAGCAAAAATATCTGCGACTTTTTAAACAGGTATATTCGAATGACTGTTAGGAAAAATGCAAAACATCAAGATCAAGCTAATCAACTGTACAGTTATTCTACCTAATATAACGTCGCTGATGAGAGTGGTTTAATTTTGTTAAAAATATTGACTGAAAAAAAGTACGCACGTAAAACAATCTTATCCATGAGCAATTGCGAATAAAAGAACGTTTTTGTATTTCAAGGAGAGTCTTTAAAAAGTCGGAACTAGTAACAAAGTTTGCAGAAAAATAAATCAGCGGTTTTATGAAAGGATGCTTTCAATGAACATAACAATGGTAACTTCATCTTTCAGACAATTAGCTGTAAACCAATTCGAACACACATACCTGCATTTTTAGTTACTGATTATGTTTGTAAAAAATGCAAATGAACAAAAATATATAGTATACATTGTTTTCCATTATACATTGATTACTTACTTCATCAATATACAATTATTGAATATTTTTTATTATTAATAAGAGGAGAATTTTCAAACTTGTCGAATCATCTCACAAAATCAGAAGCAAAAAATTCGGCGACTTTTTAAACAGGTATATTCGAATGACTGTTAGCAAAAAAGCAAAACATCAAGATCAAACTTATCAACTGTACAGTCATTCTACCTAACATACCGGCACTGTTGAATGTGGTTTTAATTTGTTTAAAATATTGACTCAAAAATGTAGGCACGTAAAACAATCTTATTTATAAGCAATTGCGAATAAAAGAACGTTTTTCTATTGCAAGGAGAGTCTTTAAAAAGTCGAAATTAGTGACAAAGTTTGCATAAAAAAAAAATCAGCGCTTTTATGAAAAGATGGTTTCAATGAACCTAGCAATGATAACTTCATATTTTGGACAATTAGTTGTAAACCCATTCGAACACATATATCTGCATTCTTAGTTAATGATAATTTTGTTAAAAATCTGAATGAACATAAATATATAGTATACACTGTTTTCCATTATACATTGGTTACTTACTTCATCAATATACAACTATTGTCTATTTTTTATTAATGATTTCAAAGAAGTTTCAAACTCGTCGAATAATCTCACAAAATTAGAAGCAAAAAATTTGGCGACTTTTTAACCAGGTATATTCAAATGACTGTTAGAAAAAAGGCAAAACATCAAGATCAAGCTAATCAACTGTACAATTATTTCACCTAATATTACGGCACTGTTGAGTGTGGTTTAATTTTGTTCAAAATATTGACTTAATTAAATGTAGGCACGTAAAACGGTCTTATTCATAAGCAATTGCGAATAAAAAAAAGTTTTTCTATTGTAAAGAGAGTCTTTAATAAGTCGAAACTAGTGACAAAGTTTGCAGAAAAATAAATCAGCGCTTTTATGAAAAGATGCTGTCAATGAACATAACAATGGAAACTTCATATTTCAGACAATAATTTGTAAACCCATTCGAACAAATATATCTGCATTCTTAGTTACTGATTTTTTTTGTGAAAAATCTGAGTGAACAAAAATATATAGTATACTCTGTTTTCCATTATGCATTGATTACTTACCTCATCAATATACAATTATTGACTATTTTTTATTATTAATTCGAGGAAAATTTTAAAACTCGTCGAATAATATCACAAAATCAGAAGCAAAATATTCAGCGACTTTTTAAACAGGTACATTTGAATGACTGTTGGAAAAAAATCAAAACATCAAGATCAAACTAATCAACTGTAAAAGTATTCTACCTAATAAAACGACACTGTTCAGTGTGGTTTAATTTTGTTAAAAATATTGACTCAAAAAAAAATGTAGGGACGTAAAGCAATCTTATTCATAAGCAATTGCGAATAAAAGAACGTTTTTCTATTTCAAGGAGAGTCTTTAAAAAATCGAAACTAGTGACAAAGTTTGCAGAAAAATAAATCAGCGCTTTAATGAAAGGATGATTTCAATGAACATAACAAAGGTAACTTTTTATTTCAGACAATTAATTGTAAACCCATTCGAACACATATAGCTGCATTCTTAGTTATTGATTCTTTTTGTCAAAAATCTAAATGAACAAAAATATATAGTATACACTGTTTTCCATTATACATTGAATACTTACTTCATCAATATACGATTATTGAATATTTTTTATTATTAATTTGAGGAGTATTTTAAACTCATCGAGTAATCTCACAAAATCAGAAGCAAAAACTTCGGCGACTCTTTAAAACGGGACATTCGAATGACTGTTAGAAAAAAAGCAAAACATCAAATCAGACTAATCAACTGTACAATTATTTACCTAATATAACGGCACTGTTGAGTGTGATTTAATTTTGTTAAATATATTGACTCAACAAAAATGTAGGGACGTAAAGCAACCTTATTCATAAGCAATTGCGAATAAAAGAACGTTTTTCTATTGCAAGGAGAATCTTTAAAAAGTCAAAACTAGTGACAAAGTTTGCAGGAAAAAAAATCAGCGCTGTTATAAAAAGATGATTTAAATGAACATAACAATGGTAACTTCATATTTCTGTAAATAGACCACTTTCGAGTTCATCCGTCACCGGAACAAACTCGTGAATTATGCGCGCCTTTATGACGTCATTTACCAGATAGAGGGGATCCCCTGTATCCCTGCACTATTAACGTTCAGCAAGCGTCTAAGTGATCGTCATTGTGCAGGATAAACCAGAATTAACGTTTGTTTTGTAAGTACTTAATCACAATTCCCTAATGACATCAGTGCTGATTTTCAATTATGAGAATTTAATTTGCCGAATAATTCGTGCAATATGGCATTATAGTTTTCCAACCACTCGCTCAACATTGGAACGGAAGTGACGATGCCCCTAAACGCACGAATGATGTTCACTAAAACCAGAGATTTTGACAGAAATGCATGGAACTCGAAAGTTGTCTATCAATTGTAAACCCATTCGAACACATATATCTGCATTCTTAGTTATTGATTATTTTTGTAAAAAATCTGAATGAACAAAAATATATAGTATACACTGTTTTCCTTTATACATTGATTACTTACTTCATCAATATACAATTATTGACTATTTTTTTATTAGTAATTGCAGGAGAATTTTTAAACTCGTCGAATAATCTCACAAAAAAAGAAGCAACAAATTCGTCGACTTTTTAAACAGGTACATTCGAATGACTGTTGGAAAAAAATCAAAACATCAAGATCAAACTAATCAACTGTAACATTACTCCACCTAATATAACTGCACTGTTGAGTGTGGTTTAATTTTGTTAAAAATATTGACTCAAACAAATGTAGGCACGTAAAATAATCTTGTTCATAAGCAATTGCGAATAGAAGAACGTTTTTCTATTGCAAGGAGAGGCTTTAAAAAGTCGAAACTAGTGACAAGGTTTGCAGAAAAATAAATCAGCGCTTTTATGAAAAGATGCTTTCAATGAACATAGCAATGGTCACTTCATATTTCAGACAATTACTTACTTCATTAACATACAACTATTGACTATTTTTTATCATTAATTTCAGTGAATTTTCAAACTCGTCAAATAATCTCACAAAATCAAAAGCAAACAATTCGTCGACTTTTTAAACAGGTATATTCAATTGACTGTTAGAAAAAAATCATAACATCAAGATCTAGCTTATCAACTGTACAATTATTCTACTTATATAACGGCACTGTTGAGTGTGGTTTAGTTTTGTTAAAAATATTGACTTAAAAAAATGTAGGCACGTAAAATAATCTTGTTCATAAGCAATTGCGAATAAAAAAAACGTTTTCCTATTGTAAGGAAAGGCTTTAAAAAGTCGAAACTAGTGACAAAGTTTGCAAAAAATAAATCACCGCTTTGATGGAAAGATGCTTTCAATGAACATAATCATGGAAACTTCATATTTCAGACAATACGTTGTAAACCCATTCGTACAAAAATATCTGCATTCTTAGTTATTGATTATTTTTGTAAAAAATCTAAATGAACAAAAATATATAGCATAAACTGTTTTCCATTATACATTGATTAACTACTTATCAATATACAACTAATGACTATTTTTTATTATGAATTTCAGGAGAATTTTCAAACTCGTCGAATAAGCTCACAAAATCAGAAGCAAAAAATTTCGGCAACTTTTTAAACAGGTATATTCGAATGACTGTTAGAAAAAAAACAAAACATCAAGATCAAGCTAATCAACTGTACAATCATTCCACTTAATATAACGGCACTGTTGAGTGTGGTTTAATTTTGTTAAAAATGTTGACTCAATAAAATGTAGGCACGTAAAACAATCTTATTCATAAGCAATTGCGAATAAAAGAACGTTCTTCTATTTCAAAGAGAGTCTTTAAAAAGTCGAAACTAGTGACAAATTTTGCAGAAAAATAAATCAGCGCTTTTATGAAAAGATGCTTTCAATGAACATAACAATGGTAACTTCATATTTCAGACAATTAGTTGTAAGCCCATTCGAACAGATATAACTGCATTTTTAGTTATTGCTTATTTTCGTAAAAAATCTAATGAAAAAAATATATAGTATACCCTGTTTTCCATTATACATTGATTACTTACTTCATCAATATACAATTATTGACTATTTTTTATTATTAATTTCAGGAGAATTTTCAAACTCGTCGAATAATCTCACAAAATAAGAAGCAAACATTTCGGCGACATTTTTAACAGGTATATTCGAATGAACGTAAGACAAAAAGCAAAACATCAAGATCAAGTAATCAACTGCAACAAATGGAAGTTTTTAACGACCTTGACTGGCTATACAGCCCTTGCACGGTCGGCTATATATAATCAACTGTACAATTATTCTACCTAGTATAACGGCACTGTTGGGTGTGGTTTAATTTTGTTGAACATATTGACTAAAAAAAGTAGGCACGTAAAACAATCTCATTCATAAGCAATTTCGAATAAAACAACGTTTTTCTATTGCAAGGAGAGTCTTTAAAAAGTCGAAAGTAGTGACAAAGTTTGCAGAAAAAAAAAATCAGCGCTTTTATGAACAGATGCTTTCAATGAACAAAACAATGGTAACTTCATGTTTCAGACAATTAGTTTTAAGCCCATTCGAACAAATATAACTGCATTCTTAGTTATTGATTTTTTTTTGTAAAAAATCTGAATGAAAAAAATATATAGTATATCCTGTTTTCCATTATACATTGATTACTTACTTCATCGATATACAATTATTGACTATTTTTTATTATTAATTTCAGGAGAATTTTCAAACTCGTCGAATAACCTCACAAAATAAGAAGGAAACATTTCGGCGATATTTTTAACAGGTATATTCGAATGACCGTTAGACAAAAAGCAAAAAATCAAGATCAAGATAATCAACTGTACACTTATTCTACCTAATATAACGGTAATGTTGAGTGTGGTTCAATTTTGATGAACCTATTGACCCGAAAAAAAGTAGGCACGTAAAACAGTCTCATCCATAAGCAATTTCGAATAAAAGAACGTTTTTCTATTGCAAGGAGAGTCTTTAAAAAGTCGAAATAAGTGACAAAGTTTGCAGAAAAAAAGATCAGCGCTTTTATGAAAAGATGCTTTCAATGAACATAGCAATGTAAACTTCATATTTCAGACAAATAGTTGTAAGCCCCTTGCAACAAATATAACTGCATTTCTAGTTACTGATTATTTTTGTAAAAAATCTGAATGAAAAAAATATATAGTATTCCCTGTTTTCCGTTACACATTGATTACTTAGTTCATCAATATACAATTATTGACTTTTTTTTATTATTAATTTCAGCAGAATTTTCAAACTCGTCGAATAATCTCACAAAATAAGAAGAAAAAATTTTGGTGAATTTTTTAACAGGTATATTCGAATGACCGTTAGAAAAAAAGCAAAAAATCAAGATCAAGATAATTCACTTTACAATTATTCTACCTTATATAACGATACTGTTGAGTGTGGTTTATTTTTGTTGAACATATTTACTCAGAAAAAGTAGGCACGTAAAACAATCTCATCCATAAGAAATTTCGAATAAAAGAACGTTTTTCAATTGCAAGGATAGTCTTTAAAAAGTCGAAACTAGTGACAAAGTTTGCAAAAAAATAAATCAGCGCCTTTATGAAATGATGTTTTTAATGAACATAACAATGGTAACTTCATATCTCAGACAATTAGTTGTAAGCCCTTTCGAACAAATGTAACTGCATTCCTAGTTACTGATTATTTTTGTAAAATATCTGAAAGAAAAAAATAAATAGTATACCCTGTTTTCCATTACACATTGATTACTTACTTCATCAATATACAATTATTGACTATTTTTTATTATTAATTTCAGGAGAATTTTCACACTCGTCGAATTGTCTCACAAAACAAGTAGGAAAAATTTCGGAGACCTGTTTAACAGGTATATTCGAATGACCGTTAGAAAAAAAGCAAAACATCAAGATCAAGATAATCAATGGTACAATTATTCTACCTAAAATAACGGTACTGTTGAGTGTGGTTTAATTTTCTTGAACATATTGACTCAAAAAAAGTAGGCACGTAAAACAATCTCAACCATAAGCAATTTCAAATAAAAGAACGTTTTTCTATTGCAAGGAAAGTCTTTAAAAAGTCGGACAAAATTTGCAGGAAAAAAAATCAGCGCTTTTATGAAACGATGCTTTCAATGAACATCACAATGTTAACTTCATATTTCGGACAATTAGTTGTAGCCCATTCGAACAAATAAAACTGCATTCCTAGTTACTGATTATTTTTGTAAAAAATCGGAAAAAAAAGTATATCGTATACCCTCTTTTTCATTACACATTGATTACTTACTTCATCAATATACAATTATTGAGTAATTTGTATTATTAATTTCAGAAGAACTTTCAAACTCGATGAATAATTTCACAAAATAAAAAGGAAAAATTTCCGCGACTTTTTTAACAGGTATATTCGAATGACCGTTAGAAAAAAGCAACACATCAAGATCAAGATAATCAACTGTACAATTATTCTACCTTATAGTACGGCACTGTTGAGTGTGGTTTAATTTTGTTGAACATATTGACTTAAAAAAAAGTAGGCACGTAAAACAATCTCATTCATAAGCAATTTCGAATAAAAGAACGTTTTTCTATTGCAAGGAGAGTTTTTAAAAAGTCGAAACTAGTGACAAATTTTGCAGAAAAATAAATCAGCGCTTTTATGAAAAGATGTTTTCTATGAACATAACAATGGTAACTTCATATTTCAGAAAATTAGTTGTAAGCCCATTCGAACAGATATAACTTCAATTTTAGTTATTGCTTATTTTCGTAAAAAATCTGATGAAAAAAATATATAGTATACCCTGTTTTCCATTATACATTGATTACTTACTTCATCAATATACAATTATTGACTATTTTTTATTATTAATTTCAGGAGAATTTTCAAACTCGTCGAATAATCTCACAAAATAAGATGGAAACATTTCGGCGACATTGTTAACAGGTATATTCGAATGACCGTTAGACAAAGAGCAAAACATCAATATCAAGATAATCAACTGCAACAAATGGAAGTTTTTAACGACCTTGACTGGCTATACAGCCCTTGCACGGTCGGCTATATATAATCAACTGTACAATTATTCTACCTAGTATAACGGCACTGTTGGGTGTCGTTTATTTTTGTTGAACATAATGACTAAAAAAAGTAGACACGTAAAACAATCTCATCCATAAGCAATTTCGAATAAAACAACGTTTTTCTATTGCAAGGAGAGTCTTTAAAAAGTCGAAAGTAGTGACAAAGTTTGCAGAAAAATAAATCAGCGCTTTTATGAAAAGATGTTTTCTATGAACAAAACAATGGTAACTTCATATTTCAGACAATTAGTTTTAAGCCCATTCGAACAAATATAACTGCATTCTTAGTTATTGATTATTTTTTGTAAAAAATCTGAATGAAAAAAATATATAGTATATCCTGTTTTCCATTATACATTGATTACTTACTTCATCAATATACAATTATTGACTATTTTTTATTATTAATTTCAGGAGATTTTCAAACTCGTCGAATAAGCTCACAAAATAAGAAGGAAACATTTCGGCGACATTTTTAACAGGTATAGTCGAATGACCGTTAGACAAAAAGCCAAAAATCAAGATCAAGATAATCAACTGTACACTTATTCTACCTAATATAACGCTAATGTTGAGTGTGGTTTGATTTTGTTGAACCTATTGACTCGAAAAAAGTAGGCACGTAAAACAATCTCATCCATAAGCAATTTCGAATAAAAGAACGTTTTTCTATTGCAAGGAGAGTCTTTAAAAAGTCGAAACTAATGACAAAGTTTGCAGAAAAAAAGATCAGCGCTTTTATGAAAAGATGCTTTCAATGAACATAACAATGTAAACTTCATATTTCAGACAATTAGTTGTAAGCCCCTTGAAACAAATATAACTGCATTTCTAGTTACAGATTATTTTTGTAAAAAATCTGAATGAAAAAAATATAAAGTATACCCTGTTTTCCATTACACATTGATTACTTAGTTCATCAATATACAATTATTGACTTTTTTTTATTATTAATTTCAGGAGAATTTTCAAACTCGTCGAATAATCTAACAAAATAAGAAGAAAAAATTTCGGTGAATTTTTTAACAGGTATATTCGAATGGCCGTTAGAAAAAAAGCAAAACATCAAGATCAAGATAATGAACTTTACAATTATTCTACCTTATATAACGGTACTGTTGAGTGTGGTTTATTTTTGTTGAACATATTTACTCAGAAAAAGAAGGCACGTAAAACAATCTCAATTTCGACTAAAAGAACGTTTTTTAATTGCAAGGATAGTCTTTAAAAAGTCGATACTAGTGACAAAGTTTGCAGAAAAATAAATCAGCGCTTTTATGAAATGATGTTTTCAATGAACATAACAATGGTAACTTCATATCTCAGACAATTAGTTGTAAGCCCTTTCGAACAAATATAACTGCATTCCTAGTTACTGATTATTTTTGTAAAATATCTTAAAGAAAAAAAATATAAAGTATACCCTGTTTTCCATTACACATTGATTACTTACTTCATCAATATACAATTATTGACTATTTTTTATTATTAATTTCAGGAGAATATTCACACTCGTCGAATAGTCTCACAAAATAAGTAGGAAAAATTTCGGAGACTTTTTTAACAGGTATATTCGAATGACAGTTAGAAAAAAAGCAAAACATCAAGATCAAGATAATCAATAGGACAATTATTCTACCTAAAATAACGGTACTGTTGAGTGTGGTTTAATTTTGTTGAACATATTGACTCAAAAAAAGTAGGCACGTAAAACAATCTCAACCATAAGCAATTTCAAATAAAAGAACGTTTTTCTATTGCAAGGAAAGTCTTTAAAAAGTCGGACAAATTTTGCAGAAAAATAAATCAGCGCTTTTATGAAAAGATGCTTTTAATGAACATAACAATGGTAACTTCATATTTCAGACAATTAGTTGTAAGCCCATTCGAACAGATATAACTTCATTCTTAGTTATTGCTTATTTTTGTAAAAAATCTGATGAAAAAAATATATAGTATACCCTGTTTTCCATTATACATTGATTACTTACTTCGTCAATATACAATTATTGACTATTTTTTATTATTAATATCAGGAGAATTTTCAAACTCGTCGAATAATCTCACAAAATAAGAAAGAAACATTTCGGCGACATTTTTAACAAGTATATTCGAATGACCGTTAGACAAAAAGCAAAACATCAAGATCAAGATAATCAACTGTACAATTATTCTACCTAGTATAACGGCACTGTTGGGTGTGGTTTAATTTTGTTGAACATATTGACTAAAAAAAGTAGGAACGTAAAACAATCTCATCGATAAGCAATTTCGAATAAAACAATTTTTTTTCTATTGCAAGGAGAGTCTTTAAAAAGTCGAAACTAGTGACAAAGTTTGCAGAAAAATAAATCAGCGCTTTTATGAACAGATGCTTTCAATGAACATAACAATGGTAACTTCATATTTCAGACAATTAGTTTTAAGCCCATTCAAACAAATATAACTGCATTCTTAGTTATTGATTATATTTTGTAAAAATCTGAATGAAAAAAATATATAGTATATCCTGTTTTCCAGTATACATTGATTAATTACTTCATCAATATACAATTATTGACTATTTTTTTTTATTAATTTCAGGAGAATTTTCAAACTCGTCGAATAACCTCACAAAATAAGAAGGAAACATTTCGGCGACATTTTTAACATGTATATTCGAATGACCGTTGGACAAAAAGCAAAACATCAAGTAGAAGATAATCAACTGTACAATTATTCTACCTAATAAGACGGCTCTGTTGGGTGTGGTTTAATTTTGTTGAACATATTGACTAAAAAAAGCAGGCACGTAAAACAATCTCATCCATAAGTATTTTCGAATAAAAGAGCGTTTTTCTATTGCAAGGAGAGTCTTAAAAAAGTCGGTACTAGTGACACAGTTTTCAGAAAAACAAATCATAGCTTTTATGAAAAGATGTTTTCAACGAACATAACAATGGTTACTGCATATTTCAGACAATTAATTGTAAACGCATTCGCACAAGTATAACTGCATTCTTAGTTATTGATTATTTTTGCAAACAATCTGAATGAAATATTATATAGTAGACTTTTTTTATCCATTATACATTGATTGCTTACGTCATCAATGTACAATTATTGACTATTTTTTATTATTAATTTCAGGAGAATTTTCAAACTCGTCGAATATACTCACAAAATAAGAAGCAAACATTTCGGCAACTTTTTTAACAGGTATATTCGAATGACCGTTAGAAAAAAGGGAGACATCAAGATCAAGATAATCAACTGTACAATTATTCAACCTAGAAGAACTGAAATGTTATGTGTGATTTAATATTGTTGAAAATATTGACTAAGAATAAGAAGGCACGTACAACAATCACAATCATAAGCAATTTCGAATAACACAATGTTTTTCTATTGCAAGGAAAATCTTTAAAAAGTCGAAACTAGTGACAAAATTTGTAGAAAAATAAATTATCGCTTTTATAACAATGGTTACTTTATATTTCAAGCAATTAATTGTAAACGCATTCGAACAAATATAACTGCATTCTTAGTGATTGATTATTTTTGTAAAAAAATCTAAATGAAAAATTATATGATATACTTTTTTTTATCCATTATACTTTGTTTGCTTACTTCATCAATATATACGTATTGACTATTTTTTATTATTAATTTTCGGTTGTGTTTGATTCCTTTGTTGCTGTTTCCATAACTTAAATCTTTTTACAGGATAGAGTTCCTTCTTGGAGGGCCAGAGATTTTCTGTCAAGGTTTCCTTTCTTTGGATAAGTTGCCGACCAAGGCTGACGAGCCATTATCTGTCCGTTTTGTTTTCTAGAGATTTCTTTCTCCAAAACAAATCTCTTCAAGGATAACGATCCACAGTGGGCCTTCACTCTGCATCTTTGAACCCTTGCTGCTCTAAGATCTCCTACAATGAAGCCTGAGATACTAGATCCCAGTTACCATGCGCTATCGCAAAGAGACATTGGAGAAGTGTTACAGTGTAGAGGCTATGTACTGGCAGGAGAGGCTTACTCACTCGGGTCTCATTTCGTTTACATATTTAGGCTAGTCAACGGCTGCTGCTTTGATAAAAACAACCCTACTAGACTCATGCAAGTGCTCTGTGGAAGAAAAAAACATCAGCTCACGTTTTTCAATTGTTAAACTGCTGATTAATTATGTAGTAATTTTGTTCAGCAGTTTCTGGGAAAAGTGCGACAAAAATATTTGTTATACAAACGGACGCACATATGAAAGAACCAGGTGATGGCTCTATTGGCCCACTTGTAGGAGAAAGACACTTGTTCATTTCTACATTTACAAAAAATCCTATTATATTTATGTCCAAGGTCTGCAACGTACATTTTGGTCTAAAATAAAAATCGGTAGGAAAATTGCTATTAGTAACACAATAAATAATTTTAAAGTTAATAATATATGCGTACATGACTTTTGACTAGCTTTTAGTTAGTTCGAATACTCTCAGATGTGTACTTTGTTTCTTTACAGTTTTTGTTAGTTTTTATTGTGCTTTGTATCAATCTGACGAGTTAAGCTCTTTTCAACTGATCATAATGGTTTGTTCTTATGCTGTGCTGTTACACCACTGACCCAGGTTTGGGGATGTTTGGGGCACCAGCAAGCATGTTTTAACTATGCCACATTCTGTTTGTACATGTCCCAGTTACCATGGTTACGGAAATCTTTCATCTATTGTCAACAAACACTGGCGTCTTATTGAAAATGATCCTTCCTTAAAAGAGGTTTTTTCCATCACCTCCCGTCATGGCTTACCGCAGACCCAAAAACCTCAAAGATAGTCTAGTCACATCTAAAGTATCTAAACAAGATACATCGAAAATAGGAGGATATGTCATGCGGAAGAGGCAACTGTAAGTACTGCAAAGTCGCCAACATTGAAACCCAATTCGTCAGCACAGTCACAAAAAATAAATACAACCTATGTATAACACCCAATTGCAAAACGCAAAATTGTATTTATGTTCTAACGTGTGGAACTTGTAAGGTGCAATATGTTGGTGAAACAGAAACACCATTCAACATCCGACTGAATAACCATTGGTCATTTTATGCAAAAGACAGAAACTGCCCTATCACAAAACATCTTTTAAGAGAAGGGCATGATTTTGTAAACGTCACATTTTAAATCATTAAGAAAAAACAAAATAGGACACGCGAGGGAGACAACAGAGAGAGAGATTTTGGATCCACCAGTTATGGACTATTTAACCTGGTGCACTCAATGAAAGGGACGAAAAAAGATTTATAAACCAATCAAAATAATAATCTTGAAATCCGTACAATGTATACAACACCAATAAATATGTTAAACTTTTATTCCAACTGCGTGTATTTTAAGCTACAGAAATATTTTTTTGTCATGCATCCGATTTCACCTGGATAGATGCACACGCCTGATGAAGCTAGTTTGTCTAGCGAAATATTGCGTATATCTATTTAAAATCTAATAGAACTATTATAATGTATCAATTAGCGTGTTTAAGTTATATTCTTAGACATTTATATAATTTTAATTTAGTAACTGTATCAGTTTATTTTTACAAGCTGATGCACGCCTAAATAGATTGAATGTTGATTGTTGCTATTTTTATATATAACTACTCTAAATATCAGCTCAAAAATGTTAAATCTGCAAATTTGCGGAAGCAAATTTTTGTTCTTCCCTCGCCGGGATTCGAACTCATACTATTTGGATATCGAGACAACACCACCTGCACTGTGTCCATCGCTCTAGACCACTCGGCCACCTAGACTGAACTAATAACTCAGATTTCGGTGGCCTAGTGTTACCTTTCCTCGTCAGTAGAATTTAGAGTTATATACATATGTATCATTTTTTTTAACAAAATAAGTTAAGAATTGAGAAAATTCATAATGGTGCACGTAAAGTGACGCCAAAACAGTCATTATTACGTCATATACATGAAAAATGTTTTCTTTCCTAAAAGTAAATATATTCAACTAAATGAATACATCACCCATATTAGGATAAGAAGACTTTGAAAATTGTAAAAAAAAATAAAGACTATATGGGTCCTTAAAGCCCCAACTCATCCTTTCTTGTTTCAGGCCATTTCAAATATTTGTTTGTGAAACATGCACTGATTCCAAAAACAAATACACCCAGGATGATATTATCAAACTTCTGCACTTTTTGATCGACAACTGATTTGTTCAGTTTGTTGGATACATATTTCAACAGACAGTCGGTTGTCAACAAAAGCATACTATAATCCATACAACACCCTGTCAAAGACAAAACGAGAACTAGTATTTTGCAAAGTTCTTTTATTTCACTAAAAGATATATTAACGATGTTATTTCACTCAATAACCCAGATTTCAGCGAGTGCTTGCATCACATACATCCCAGTGAACTTGAAATTAGGAATATTTCCGAAACTCAAAAGTCCGCTTCAGATCTAAATGTTTTCCTCGATATTGGCACACATGGACGACTTCAAACTAGAATCTATGACACACGTGATTATTTCAACTTTCTAATTGTCAGTTTACCATGTTTCAGCAGTAACATACCCTCTGCACACCGGAATGCGTTTACATTTCTTAATCAGTACGTTATATTTGTACATGTTCGCACTATACGTCATTTACAGAAGTGATGTCCTTACACAAAAACTACTCTAATAGATATAAGAAGATGTGGTATGAGTGCCAATGAGACAACTCTCCATCAAAGTCACAATTTGTAAAAGTAAACCATTATAGGTCAAAGTACGGTCTTCAATATGGAGCCTTGCCTCACACCGAACAGCAAGCTATCAAGGCCCCACAAATTACTAGTGCAAAACCATTCAAACGAGAAAACCAACGTTCTTATCTATATAAAAAACGAGAAACACTCACGAACGACATCAACAAACGACAACCACCGAACACCAGATTCCTGACTCAGGACAGGCGCAAACAAACGCAGCGGGCCTTAACGTTCCAATAGGTACCAATCCTCACCCCTATCTGAAACAACAGTGTAACATCACAACATAGAAATACACACTATAAAAAATCAATTGAAATGGCTTAACTCAATCGAAAAACATATTAACACAAGTGAACATACACTGAACGAAAAAATTTGATCTATGATACAATGTAAATACAAAATCAATAATATAAGGGGTGAATAAATAAAGGCAACAGTAGTATACCGCTGTGAGATGTTAAACAATTTAAATAAAAACAACAACAACCTTGAACACAAAGCCGCCAAATACAAAAATATACACAGGTAAATGAAAATAATTTTGTTGTAAGGTATACAGTTTAATGTAGAACGGAAATATTTTTTACAAAATAAATAATTTTGTTGTTCAAAGTACGAAGAAGTGAAAATTCATAGTCATACCAAACACTTATCAAAGCTGGTATATAGACGAGATATAACACTGAATAAGTAAACATTAGATAACAAAAAAAACATTACAAATAGTATCACAAAAACAATTAAAAATTAAAAAAAAATGCATCATAGACTAAAATCAACTAAAACACATCCCAGGGATTTAGTATTTTAACGTCATGGACAGTCAAAGAAGACATGATTTGTGCAATGCCAAAAATAAATGTATCGACACAATGTTATGCGGAAGAACGAACGAAATCGGCACTACATGATCTAACGGTCACAATCTTTAATTGGTTGACAGAAACAATATGTGTCTATACTCACTTTTCACTGTCGTCATTATTTGTCAAAAATAGAAGTGAACCCCAATATCTACAGTAGTCTCTTTTGAAACTTTTGCATTCTCATAGAAAGGTCAATATCGATGTAAATCAGGACTGAATTTGCCATTTGGATAACTACAGTTTCATG